ACTGTCTCCCATATTGCTTAATATACCTCTACAGAAGGTAATTAATGAGTTGCAATTAACAGCATACGCAGATGACATCGTCATAATGGGAAGATTCAAATAAGGAATGATGGAGAACTATGAAGAACTCCATTCATTGGTCCAATAAACGAAAGCGACGGTTGGAGAATTCTATATTATCACGAATTAGGAGCGATATACAAGGACTTAGATATTGTGAGATTGTGAGAACAATTGGTCAATACAAATAATAAACAAACACCTTTCAAAGATAGCAAGCTTGGGCATAAGTTGATTAAGATAAAATAAATTCAAAGTAAAATGAAATAAACTTTACATCGCCAGCTTTTCTTGCCGTGCTTTCAGAGCTTCTATAGTCATAATTTTGTATTCGTCCATTTTTCAGCATATATTTTGGCTTACTTGCCAATAGCAATATTTAATGAATTCAATGTAAGCAGAAATTTCGACTATTTTCAAACCGAATATATGTGCTCTGGGGTCAGTCAATCGACCGATCAAACATCTCTAGTAAGTTATCTAGAGATAAATTACCGGTACACGTTCTCATACGTCTCGATGTAATGGTAGATGATGTTCACTAAATAATCCGACCCTTTTGATTTAGCTTTTTACTATTTGGACCAACTCTCGTCTTCCAGCAATTAATACTGATGATTTGAATGTTCGTTTGTACATCACATGTGATAATATACGAGAACTAGCCTCATTTAATGAAATGCGAGATCGTTGACTAAAAAGGTTTATTGAAATTTTGAATTCTTTCCATTAAAACTTTATTTAGTTTTTTCGAATTAGAAGGTTGAGATAAGAGTATTCGCCTGAAAAGCGTCGCAGAATTCGTTTTGTCACGAAATTTAAAGTGATAATGACAAATTGGGTGTCATGAATGTTATGGCGAAGAATGTCTAAATGATGAACATTGGGAAGAAGTATTTCTAGAAGTGAAAGATTTATAACATTTATATCTCCTTCTTTAGTGTAAAAGGTGAGTATCTTGGTTTTATCAGTATTCAGATTTAATTTTTTGGTGCTAAACCAGTCTTCAATATTTGTATCACTATTTATAAGTAAAGTTTCGTCGTATATAAGCACATAAGAATAATTTCTGGTAAGTCATTATATACAAAAGAAAAAGAAGGGGTCCCAATACCGAACCCTTTGAAACGCCTGTCGTCATATCTTTTAGTTCAGATTGACGACCTTTCCAGTACACGCACTGTTTTCTTCCAAACAGATAAGATCTGATTAGTTTCAATGCTCTACAGTGTAATCCATATTTCCCCAACATACACAAAAGTATCTCATGACCAACGCTATCAAAAGCCTTACTGCGATCACAGAAAGCTATGTGTGTAAATTGTTGAAGATCAAAACCTTGTATAATTTCTTGTACCAACGTTAGAAGTGGCAGATTTATCTTTCTGACAAATTCTGATGTGCTGGAATTTTGTTATATTATTTTCTTGTATATAATGCACAATAAGACATGATTATAGTACAATTTCAACAACTTTTGATAACCTTGGTAATATTGATATAGGTCTGTAGTTTTTACAATCATTAATGCCACCTTTTTTTGTAAATCGGTATTACCTTAGCAATATTCAATTCTCTCGGAAAAACTCCATCCTCTATACATTTGTTTACAACTTTACACAATTGTTTGGCAATCATTGTATCTATGGATTTTAATAGCTAATCCGTATACAGTGCCCGCCAAAAAGTCAGCAACACCCGTTTTATTTCTGTTCCATTGTATTTAACCATTTAAAATTTTTACTTTCTTGCCATTGAATGCGGAAAAAGGTAATTCACTTTTTGACCATCGTGTACAAGATACTGTGATACAGCAAATGACAACCTATTTGACAGCATTTGAAGAGTAATCGTGCCAATTTAGCGCTTCAAATTATTTTTTCGCATATAATTAAAATATGCAATAAAAACTATAGCATCCATATTTAACTATTTTGTAGACGTCTTTATAATATTACACAAAGCAGTAGCAATGGATATAACTTCCTTGCAGAAAATGGTTCCATTTTCGTCCCTAGCTTAACTATTAGTGGTAGTAATCCAGTATTAGCGTACGTAGCCCTAAGTGTGTTCATAGCTTCGTCTTTCTCTTCCATCGTTAATTTATTTTTTGTTTTAGTTACATCTAAAATAAATACAATTAAATGATGAGGCGTAAGTGCCTGTTTGTAAAATTTCTGATAAACTTGTATTTGAGATAGTAATAATTCCAATTTTTCGTCAAATGAACTTCCTAATTTCATCCACACTTCTACAGCATCATACCGAGAAGCACTTTTTTTGCAATTTGTCAAGTCTCCGAGATATTGGCTTTAAGATGCATATTTAAGTAATTTTCTGCAGATCGTTTGGAATCAATATTAGATACTTTTTGGTTTATTGGTATATTATTCGGTATATTTTGATATAAATATATTGTATGATCAATGTCCTTTTTATTTTCTTCACATACTGGTACGGTTTTTCCCATTGACTTACATGTATTTGCACACAATCCACCATACTGTTCCACCTTACATCGTTTATTTACATTAGATCTAGTCAGGCGATTGTTTCTAAAATATTTCACAATTTAAATGTTCTTTGACTTTAGTTACTTCAAAGTCTTTGCAAAGCAAATTTAGAAAGTAAGCTAATAATCTATAAGTTATAACAGAAACACTAAACCTTAAGCTTCTGATCTGTCTTCTCATACTTGTCACATTTGCAGCATATCCGCCAAAAATGACGTTACATTACAATTATATTTCGATTTACAAGATTAAATCATTCCATAAATAATTTTTGTTAAGTAATCGCTTGTATGGGGGTGTATCTATTGTGTCATATAAGAATGCGTTTCCATCTTCAGTAGTTGTTGTTGCACGCAGTATAGGGTCATTAGAAATCGCAATTTTTTCCCACCATGCAGATAACATATAGATGATAGCAAAACCGGTGTAGGAACAGGAAGAAACGGGTAAGTTTCAGTACCAAACGATGTAGAAGACTTTTCGTAGCACTGGTAATTTCTTTCAGAGAAAATTCTTTTTCTGTATTGTTGTCGTAATTGGAGCAATTTTTAAATAACCGAACAAAATTGCAATGCAATAACATGTATAAGTGTCACAAATGGTTGTAATTTTTATTTGTAAGTTGCCAATTGTGTCAAAATGGTATTTTCGAAAATTATGACAACTTGACATCATTAATCATTACATTTGTTTAACGCGATATTATTTTATACGGCTCGTTTTCCTCGTGTTCTTGTAAGCCCACACTTTCACTTTTCTACACCAAATTTGTGTACGTGCATCGATGTACATACACCAGTTTCACCAAACCAAAACTTTATTAGTCTATTTGTTAACTTTCATAACTTTTGATAAAACTTTTTATAAAACTATTTTAAACTATATCAAGGGATTGTTGCCAAGGTTAGTTGTATTAAGAGGCTAATAACTGGATTTAACAAGATATTATAGAAAAACTGATTCCAGTGTTTTTAGCGTTTTGATGGCCACAAACGGATGAGGATAAAAGATGAAAAAAAGATCACTTAAAAGGTTTTTTTGTAGTGATTCAAAACTGACTCGTTGTCATTGCACGATGATTCTTTTGGATTGTCTTTTGTGCGCCAAGAATGCGACAACGACGTGAGGACAGTGACTTTGTTTTTCGCGCAACGCCTACTCTTATCCGAAACAAAACACGTTCAGCACAGTATTCGACCTTCAACTTTATGAAATGGGGCGAATATTTTTATTATGTTAAAGTATCTTTAAAGAAAAACCATGATAATAAAAAACGTTAATTCGCAAATATGCGAAAAAACACTAAAAATACATTGTTTGCGATAAGATTAGACCGCAGCCAAAAAAAAAAAAGGTTCAAATTGAGACGTGCGCAAAATTGACCTACCCGAATAAATAAAATATAAAATCGTATATACATATCTAATGAAATGGCCGCTTTTGTTGTTGATTATGATAACTGATATATTTGAACAATGCGGGTATTTTTAAACAAAATATAGATTAGGGAGTTGTTTATGATACGTAATAGCAGATTGAAAATAAAATTTGTTTTGAAACCGAAAAAGGTTAGTTTATTTCAAAAAACGAAGGGTTGGAGTTTAAAATGTAAATAAATGTTGAAGAATTACAGGGCAATAACCCAACAGCATCCACCACGCGCCAGAAGAACCGATCGATGTTCGAGACAGCCATGATGAAAACGCGGTTAACTTGATCGGTGTGCACCCGGCACTTAAATCCGACGCACACCTCGATTCAAACGGCATTGACGGTTAATTCCTACAAGGGCGCAAACTTTGAAATAAACAACTTTAATTCCGCGTATTGTCCACGTCCTCAAATCTTTCTTAACGATAAGAAATTTAAATTACTTCACTTATAAAATGGATGTCGTTGAATATCATTTTGAATCGTTGTTCAATTTTTTTTAAATACAAAACAAACGACTGCAACAAAACAAAACACCAAATCTTATAAAAAAACAAATTCATTAAAACTATACGATGCATTCAGTGAAAAAGATTGTAATTGGGACACTAAATAGATTCAACACGTGCATGGAGAAAGCTGGTGTCTACGTGATTAAAACCAGACGACGTGCAATAACGTACCCTGAACGTTATTTCTTAAAATTGAATTAATAAACTGTTTAATTTGAATGTAAGATATTTGATTTTTTTATGGACACCCTGACCTGATTATCAAAAACCTTCGTTACCAATACACTTAACGCTTCTGTATGTCGAGTAGATACGTGACGCTACCTGATTTTCGTCTTATTCTAAATTAAATAAGCTTTAATTCGAAATGACAATCATCGAAAATTGTTTATTTTGCAATCGTACACGAACTCAAGCAAGAATCACCGATTAATTCGGCGTATTTTTTGAGAAAATCCAAAAATTAAAGAGATTACTCACTTACCAATACAACACAGATGACGGCAGCTTACACAAATTGTGCGTAAGCATTGCGCACGCTCAATACGCGTCCGCGATACGTTAGCATTTTCAAACTAAACTCGCTTATTCGAGATTAATTTCAAATCTTTTTTACCCAATAAATCATTTATTTAATTTTCTAGATTTAATTTACCCTTTAATCAATATGACGCGATTTTATTCAAACTCCAAATACAACTAACAGTACCTATTTTGACGTAAATATCCTGTCATTACTAACGGAACGTCATTCGGAAGTACCAACATGATATTTGACCGGTTACTTTCGATTTTTGATTTTTCGATTCTTTTATATATTTTCTCAAATTTTTTATTTCAATTAAAAATTGTATTATTATTTATAAATAATAAGATTTTTAATTTAATTTTTTTATAATTTTTGAATTAAATATCTAATTAACCAGCGGCATCTATGAATGACGTACGGAACCCAACTGACGTATAAGTTACGCCTTTAATTTACTTGTCAAATAAACAGCTGATCAAAAAAAAGGATTTTTTGATAAAAACCGCATGCAAAATGATTCATTTTAATACGGATTGATTTCATCGACGTGATGGCAAATCATAATTTTAAGGTGGTACTTTTAGGAGAAGGTTGCGTAGGAAAAACTAGCTTAGTTTTACGTTACATAGAAAATACTTTTAATGCTAATAATTCCAGTACTGTGCAGGTAAGAGCAATACACTTTCATTAAAATATAAATTAATCAAATTTATGTATTCTTAGGCATCCTTTCTAACAAAAAAATTAAACATTGATGGTGAGCGAATAAATCTCGCGATATGGGATACGGCAGGTCAAGAACAATTTCACGCCTTAGGACCTCTTTATTATCGAAATTCAAACGGCGCCGTTTTGGTGTATGATATCACAAATGAGTCTTCGTTCCCAAAAGTGAAAAGTTGGGTAAAAGAATTGCGAAAGATGCTTGGTGCTGATGTGAACTTAGTGATAGTGGGCAACAAGACTGACTTGGAAAAGGAGCGACATGTAAACTTTGAAGAGGCGGAAAATTACGCTAAAGCCGTTGGGGCGCTTCACTTTCAAACGTCAGCTAAACTCAACGAAGGTATTGAGGATGTATTTTTAGCGTTAGCAAAGAAAATGCTCGAACTTGAAGAACAACAACAACTCAACAAAACCCAATCGTTAGAAAGACAAAATTCTCAAAGGAGAAATGTTGTTGTTGTTGAAGATGATGAAATTACGGTGCCTCAATCGAAATCATGTTGTGGTCATTCGTAAAAAGGATTTTCTTTGTTAACAAAGAATTAAATTGGAATTTGGAAAGGAGAAAGTGACGTGATAAAAGAAAATGAAAGCTTGATTTTTTTTGTTATTTTTCTATTTTGCTTTTTTTACGTTATGTGATAATATGATTAATAAAATTAGTTGTTAAAAATGTCCATAAAATAAAAAATCTGTTTATATTAAAACATGTTTTTATTTAACTTATAAAATATACAAATGATTTATTTAGAAATTTGTTGGATTAATTCTTCTGGTGATTTTGATAAAATACCAACTGGATTTTCATACAGATTAACTGGATTATGTACTGCTTCGTATAATTGTTTATAAATCGCCAACATAACATCAAATGATCTTTTCTGTATCGCTTTTTTATGTTGGGACGATAATAATAAAGTAATTTGAGGTAATAATAATGCATCTGGCGATGTTGATAATGAATCCAATTTAATCTAAACCAAGTAAATTACACTTTTAATTTTAACCTAATTTTTAATAATAAAACTACGTTGTTCACGTTCCTTTTTAACGCAGCTTTCAGAAATTACTTCATTGCTTCCTTAAACACTTAAAATTACAACAAAAACTATTAGTTATTAAAATGAAGCGTATCAAAATCAACGACATCATAAACAATTCCAACGCCTGGAAACTACATTGTAGACTTTAGAGATTTTTATCAATTTGAGGGATTTTTATCATCTAAAGCATTATTGAAGGAAGATAGAGACGCTCTCCTCATCTTAAAAGTTGATGAAGCTCAGGTTACAGTTTGTATGAATAAATCACAACTCTGGATTCTACATTGGGATCAGTATCAAATCAGAACAATGCAATCTTGGAAACAATAAATATACAATAAATGCAATGACTACAAAGAATACGAAGAAGATAAAATAGTTGTACGACGAATGCGAAAGAGTCTTAAAGCTAAGGGGACAGGCTCGACAACGAATGCTAACATCATGCAAGAAAAATCAATAAATCCAAAAAACGGACACGAGAGTATTCTGGAAGAACTAAAGTCAAATATAAGAAACAACAGAATTAGACTCTTTTTCTAGGAGTTAAAAAAGATGAAGAAAGGGTTTAGACTTACCCAGAAGGGGAAAATCAGCAGAATTGGCTCTACACAACTTAGTTGGTAGAGTAACCAGGACGCTGCAGGATAAAGAGCGTTCAACAACGCATTATCACAATCTCTTGAAAGAGCTGCTCTTGACAGGGAAGTGGAAGCAACTATAGCGGATTGGATCTGCAATATGCTTGATGGTAGAATAGTTTCTACTTCACTCGACGGTGATACGATACGCTTTAGGCCGGGAGGTGGCTGCCCGCAGGGTCGGGTGTTATCTCCACTGCTTTGGTCCCTCCTGGTTGACGATCTGATTGCGATAGTCGAAGCCGTTGGTATAGAAATACAAGTTTATGCTGATGACATTGTCGTTATGGTCAAAGGAACCTGTTTGTCGAGGATGTCTAAAGTCCTCCAGGTGATCCTCGATACCATTTGCGCTTGGTGTAAGGGAGAGAACCTCGATAAACCCGCAAAAGACAATTGATGTGCCCATCGCCACGAAACGAAAGTTGGATGGGCTAATCCGCCCAACTATCCAAGGTGAAGAAATTCCTTTCATCTAGGGGAGTTTTGCACAAAGCTAGACTATCCTTGTAGACTTGCCGCAGTCTTTGTGGAAAAAATTTACTCCTGAAAGACTGTACTGGAGCAGCAGCCTGGTATAGGAAAGCCCGACAGACTTCAATTATCAGTAAACTTTCACGAATTCAACGAGTAGCTGGATCGGCAATCTCTGGTGCGACAAGCACAACGCCAACTCTAGCAATGGAGGTTCTGCTTGGCCTATCTCCTCTGCATTTGCATATAGAGAAAGTGGCTAGAACAACCATTTACAGATTTAAGCAATATGCTCAAAACTATTCCGACATGTCCTACCAACGGGCTGCGGAAGACATTATAAGTACTGATACTGTGCTATCAATGCCGTCATATTTGGCGGGATTACTATCAGTGATTAATGCTTGATACCAGATTGTACTGCCTGAGCGGCAGTCCTGGATCGAAAATGAAAATTCTCTGGTCCAGGCAGATATTTGCTTGTTCACAGATGGATCAAAAACGCCTGAAGGGATCGGAGCAGCTTACAAAAATTAGCAAGCTTACGGCCTGGGTACGTACTGTACTATATTCCAGGCGGAAGTCTTTGCTATTGACATATATGGGTGCTAAAATCCTTCTTGAAAGAGGGATGAAGAACATGACAGTACGAATTTTCTCAGACAGTCAAGCCGCTCTCCAGGCGCTGCAAGCCGTGAAAACGGTGTCAGCTCTGGTTAATGATTGTAAGAGAACATTAAACACACTGAGTTGTGATAACAGAGTTTCTCTGATCTGGGTCCTGGGTCACTCTGGGGTTGCTGACAATGAAGCGGCAGATGAGCTAGCACGAGAGGGCAGCGTTAAAGCGTTTGTGGGGCCGGAACCAGCAGTTGGTGAATTATTTGCGATGGCCAAATATAGGATTGGACTGTGGGCTGAAGANATTTAAGCAATATGCTCAAAACTGTTTCGACATGTCCTGACAATGAAGCGGCAGATGAGCTAGCACGAGAGGGCAGCGTTAAAGCGTTTGTGGGGCCGGAACCAGCAGTTGGTGAATTATTTGCGATGGCCAAATATAGGGTTGGACTGTGGGCTGAAAAGAGATTTCGCCTACTGTGGACCAGGTGTTTATTAACATCGCCACTGTCAAACCCGGGAATATTTTAGGACTTGCCCATAGAAGTAAAAGTTCTAATGGGTGTCTTTACTGGGCACTGCCGATTAAAAGCACACCTCAACTTGTTGGGTTTAGCCGACGATGTTGAATGACGACTATGTGCGGAGGAAGCAGAGACAGTTGAGAATGTTTTATGCCACTGCCCTGCCGTTAATCGTATAAGATTCTCAATTTTTGGGTCGTAGTTTATCTCCTCAAAGGATCTGAATGACCTTTCACCTAGTAAGGTATTTATGTTCGTTAAGAGCTTTGAACTGAATGGTGAAATTTGATAACGATATCTATCGGGGTACAATAGATCCTTAGGGTCGCGGTGCAAGGCTGTCGATATGTAGTCTATGCAGTGACTTTTTAATATTTAAGGGGGGCAGAACTTTTTCAAATGGTGCACCTTTTTACAATACAATTGTACACTTTTACAATTTTCCGGGGGGGCTCAAGCCCCGTGCCGCCGACTTCGGGGGGGCTCAAGCCCCGCAGCCCCCCCGTAGTCAGCGCCACTGAGTCTATGTAGTGTAATGTAAACCCAGAAGTGGAGTTACAATAAAGAATGACGAGAGCAAGCTTATTGCAGTTGAAGCTGAAATGACCTGGAGAAGATATTTTATGGGCTATTGAATGTGCAGGCAGATGAAGTAAGGCGTCAAGATAAATATCTTATGGCTGAAAGCTAAAAAATAACAAAGCTCCAGGAAACGGCAATATATCGGCAGAATGTCTAAAAACTGGAAGAGAAACTTTGGTATTGCTTTTTATCAGCTAATCTGCCAAATATGGAAAGAATAGTGAATACTAACCCACTGCAAAGAAAGTGTTAGTGCCCATGATANGACTTCGCCTACTGTGGACCAGTTCTCCTGGAATGAGACATGCTAAGGTGTTTATTAACATCGCCACTGTCAAACCCGGGAATATTTTAGGACTTGCCCATAGGGACGCATAGAGAGGAAGCAGAGACAGTTGAGCATGTTTTATGCCACTGCCCTGCCGTTAACCGTATAAGATTCTCAATTTTTGAATCGTAATTTATCTCCTCAAAGGATCTGAATGACCTTTCACAGAGCAAGGTATTAATGTTCGTTAAGAGCATTGGACTGCACGGTGAAATTTGATAAGGATATCTATCGGGGTACAATAGATCCTTAAATCGCGGTGCAAGGTTTGTTGGTCCGCCTACCCGTTATGTAGTCTATGTAATGTAATGTAGACCCAGAAGTGGAGTTACAATAAAGAATGACGAGGGCAAGCTTATTGCAGTTGAAGCTGAAATGACTTGGAGAAGATATTTTACGGGCTATTGAATGTGCAGGCAGATAAAGTAAGACGTAAAGATAAATATCTTATGGCTGAACACCTAATGGAAGAAGTATTACGAGCTATCCGCAAGCTAAAACATAACAAAGCTCCAGGAAACGGCAATATATCGGCAGAATGTCTAAAAACTGGAAGAGAAACTTTGGTATTGCTTTTTATCAGCTAATCTGCCAAATATGGAAAGAATAGTGAATACTAACCCACTGCAAAGAAAGTGTTAGTGCCCATGATAGTACCCATACATAATAGGGCAGAGTTCCGCAAACTTTTTTAAGTAGCGACCCAAAAATTTCAATAAAATCTTAATGTGACCCATAAGAAGTTAAATCTAGAGGTCTTGTTCGATGACTGCTCTTGAAGTCTTACTCGGTCTCACACCACGTACTTTACTTGTATGTACATACAAAAAGAAGTAGCTTTGAGTACCTTGTCACTGATAGATATGCTCTTAACCGCAGAGGATATCTCGAAATCCTCAGGGATCCCTTCATTCAAAATAAAACGGATCTTATACCGACAAAATATAATTTCGACATATAAGGTGACATATAAGGTCATGTTTAGAACCAGGGAAGAATGGACGAAAGGTGAGACTCAACTCAAAAGCGGACCCCTAGCCTGGTACACCAATGCTTTAAAGACAGTTGGATCCGGGTAATTTTACAAAACAGTTCAAAATGATTAAAATATTACTGAAATTAANAAACATAACAAAGCTCCAGGAAACGGCAATATATCGGCAGAATGTCTAAAAACTGGAAGAGAAACTTTGGTATTGCTTTTTATCAGCTAATCTGCCAAATATGGAAAGAATAGTGAATACCAACCCACTGCAAAGAAAGTGTTAGTGGAGATACTATAGGGCAGCGTTCCACAAACTTTTTTAAGTAGCGACCCAAAAATGTCAATAAAATCTTAATGTGACCCATAAGAAGTTAAATCTATTATCTACTTATAATGATAATTGATATTTATGCGACCCGTTTTTCCAGTCTTCGTGACACAATGATTGCGATTCGCTGCTATAGGATATAAGATAGGGCACAAGATATAAAGTCTTTTCCCTAATGTTATTGGAACAAAACAGCGAAAAAACATCTGACACAAATGCGTTGATGCGGATGCAATGAGTTCTTGTCCGATGACTGCTCTTGAAGTCTTACTCGGTCTCACACCACGTACTTTACTTGTATGTACATACAAAAAGAAGTAGCTTTGAGTACCTTGTCACTGATAGATATGCTCTTAACCGCAGAGGATATCTCGAAATCCTCAGGGATCCCTTCATTCAAAATAAAACGGATCTTATACCGACAAAATATAATTTCGACATATAAGGTGACATATAAGGTCATGTTTAGAACCAGGGAAGAATGGACGAAAGGTGAGACTCAACTCAAAAGCGGACCCCTAGCCTGGTACACCAATGCTTTAAAGACAGTTGGATCCGGGTAATTTTACAAAACAGTTCAAAATGATTAAAATATTACTGAAATTAATGTATACTTGGTCAAAATTATTTAAAAGCGCAAAATTTGTCTAAAATTGTTTAAAGTTGTTCAAAACTGAAAAATAAAATTTTCTAAAATGATCAAATTGAATTTAAAATTATTTAATCTCGGCTAAACTTGCACAAAAATATCTGAAATTTTCAAAATGTGTCTAAAATTATCTAAATTTCCTTGAATAATGTGATGCTGCATCGAAAACGACTTTACTAATTTTATCTCGAAAAAGCCGTTTGAACTATATTTTTTATAACAATTTTGAAATTGTTAATCTGGTATTCAGAATTGCTTATTATGTCCTTGGCTTTAAGAAGCTTCCATTTTGTAAGTGGTTACTAATGGTTTTATTTTTGTAATTTTAAGTCTAAATTGTGTTTATATTTACGATAAATAATATAAAATGTTTTTTGTACTTTTAAACTGGTCTTTAATTAAATACTAAATATGAGTCTTATTAGTTTCGGCTAATAGCCATCTTCAGAGACTCTAGTGATCCTTTAAGAAATAAATTTTATAGCGAATTTTGAAAGTTATTAATAAAAATTTGCAACATCGAAAATTTTATCAAAACTTCAAATATTGTTTTCTCAAAAACTGCAAGTAATTTTTCAAAACGGGTTGGTTCATTGGAAAGGGGACACTTTTATTAACATTTTGGGAAATTTTCATACTCATATTCCAAGAAATGGATTTTATACGAATTTTTAAAACATAATCGGCGAAAACTGCAAAATTCGAAAAAATTGTCGATCTTTCAAAAATTTTTTTCTCAAAATCTAAACGCGATTTTTCAAAACGGCTGTTGCATTAAAAAGAAGATACTTTAATTAATAATTGGTGATATTTCCAGACTGATGCTATAATTCCACAAACATCCTTCCATCATTCTTTACACAAAATACCTGCTCTTAGAGCTTACATCCATAGATCATAACACACCTTTATCAGATGAAAATAAAAATAATGAATTTCAGATTATCAGAACAATAGCTCTTAACAATGGTTTTTGTCACACACAAATCAATTCACTTATCAACAAATTACAATTGAAACATAATCATAATTCCTCCACATCCTTACAAAATGTAACACAAACAAGTAAAGTTATTTTTGAAAGCTTGCTTAAAAAAAAACGTTGTTTTAATTTCCTTTGCAATAACCATTATTCCTTTCTACCTAATTTTTATACTTACCAAAAAATTTTTTAAATTACTAGGTTCCATCCCAGGTATTGTAGATAAAGGTCCATGAGAAGTATCTTGTAAAATAGTATAAATTGGACCCAAATTTAAATTGGCCACCAAAGAACTCGCCTGTTCCGACGTTAAGGTATCAATTTGAGCATCAGATTGCGCTTGTATCCTCTCCAAACGATCATCCATGTATTGATACAATGAAAGACATGTATACATTGAGTACATACAATTTAACATATAAACAGCCATATCCGTTGTTGGTAATCTTGAAGCTTGCTCATTTACAGCTCTTAAAATTGGCTCAACAACGCAATAAGCTATCTAAAAAAATATTTTAAAAAATAAAAATCTTAAATCAACTCATTTTTAAGTATTACTTTAACCATATCTTGTTCTCTTCCTTCACTCATACTCGCGGTAGATAACATATCTCTTAATAAAGACAATAAATTATTTATAGAAGAAGTTGGGGTTAAATCTTTTGGTGGAGCTTCAACTCGAACTAACATATTTGAAACTTGCCCTTCTAAAGTTTTAATAAACGCATGTTCAACATTTTCTTGTAATTCTTGAAGCGTAGAATTTAATGGACCACCATTTGTAGTTTTAGCAATCGTTTTTCTATAATATCGAATTAAATTCGTTACAGAGTAAAGCGCGTTACAATCATTTGGAAACGAAATGATTTTTTCCACTCGAATTTTTAATGGGTGACAAACACCCTCAGAAATACTGCATAAAGCATTCTCAATCTGTTGATTTAAATCGTTTTTGTCGCATAACGAAACAAGAAGTAATAAACGTTGTTTTTCAAGTGGAATTGCTTTATTTAGCCATGCTAACATGTCTGTAACGTAAATTTGGGGATCATGAGCTCGCATTTCTATTGGAGAAGGATTTCCAGATGGGCCACCTCGAGTTAATGCATCTATAAAGTCACCAACAAGCGCGGCGCGACGTGAAATGCAATATTCATCAATAACATATCTAAAATTTTAAACTAACAGTTTTTTTATTGATACTTTATGAACCTATTTACTTAAAAAGAACTGGACGTTCTTGGAGGCGTGCCATAGCTTTGATAATTATCTCTTTTAAATCAGGGTGATCAACATTTCTGCAATGATTTTGTGTCCATCGATAAAGCCGCTCTAAAGCCCCTTCCTTTTTAAAATTTATTAATTAAGTTTTAATGTAAATATTTAACACAATTATTGTTTTTTATTACCTGGTGTAAAGTCATTTGTTCCATTACATCAAGTGCTAAAGTTTGATGTCCAGATTGCATTAAAATTCGACAATCGTTATGTATTTTTTGTACTTTATCCAAAGCAGCAAAAATATCCAACGTTATTGGTAAATCTTTACGATGCTTATTGCCATGTAAAGCGGTAATTTCATCTTGATTTAATTGAAACTTTTCAAGAAAAGCATAGATCACCTTAGTTTGCATTTCATTCTTTTCCCTATCAAAAATGAATCATTATTAAACAATTCTTTTTAAGATTGATTAACCTTACTTATCGATTTGTAACCCACTTGTTTGTTCTAACAAATGCTTCGTTTGTGATTTTGCATTTTGTAATCGAATACTCATATCTTGTAAAGACTTACTCATATCAGCCACATTATTGTAAACTTCATCAAACGATTCTTTCACCTCTCGAAAAGCAGCCAAGAAGTTCTCATTAATCTCTAAACTTTGCTTTTCAATTTGGCTACGAAGATTTCTTCGTGCTTGCAAGCTATTCTCATGATAAAACGTTGAGAGCTGTTTTAGAGCATCCAAAGTGTCTTGGTCATTTTCTAAACGGGTTTCTAAGATTTTTTTGAGTCGTTTTGATAGAACGTGTTCTACTTCGGGTGGTGGAACAGGCATTTTTTGTAATCACGTAAATTAAAATTATTTCTGTAAACGTTATTGGTTTTGACGTTTTAATTTTATAGGTTATGTTTACTTGTCAAAAAATTTATTAAAATTGATTTATCTTTATTTATATTGTATTAAGATTACCTAGTTTAGATTAATTTAACAGCGGTGGGACAGACACTTTCTGTAATCACGTAAATTAAAATTATTTTTGCAAACGTTATTGGTTTTGACGTTTCAATTTCATAGGTTATGTTTACTAGTCAAAAAATTTATTAAAATTGATTTATCTTTATTTATATTGTATTAAGATTACCTAGTTTAAATTAATTAATCGGCGATGGGACAGGCATTTTTTGTAATCACGTAAATTTTAATTATTTTTGCAAATATTGGTTTTGACGTTTTAATTTTATAGGTTATGTTTACTTGTCAAAAAATTTATTAAAATTGATTCATTTTTATTTATATTGTGTTAATATTACCTACTTTAGATTAATTTAACTAAAAATTATCTTAGTTTAATTATTTAAGAGATGAAAATCGTTAAATTTACACAAAAATAGTGCCAGTTTCCACGTGTTTATATTTTGAGGTTAAGTTTAATCACTAGCAATTTCAAATATGAGTAAATCACCTTACATTGGTGATAAAGCGTTAATTCCTCGCATCGAAAAGGTAAAATATCATAAAATCTCCATATCACATCAATAACAAATCCTTTTTATCATAGTATTTAGAAACTAACCTTGATAAAGAATACATTTCAATCACTACAATAGCAGATGATCTACAAAAAAATTACAGAGACTATTCAAGACGTAACCGGAATGCTTTTCGTAAATCAGTAGATAAAGCTTACAGTATAGTTTTAGAAAATCATGGTGTTGATAAAGATGCAGTGATATCATGTAGTGATGCAAGCGATACAGAAGAAATATTAGCTGAAGCTAATCAATCAAGTGATTTAACCGAAATGTACAAAAATAATGCTTTAAAATTACAACAATCAAATGATTTAATTGAGATTTTGAGTGAAAAATCTGATGATGATAAAAGAAATAAAGCAAATCAGTTCACACCATCAAACAGATTAAGTAAACGAGGCCATAAAAGAAAAATTAATGGTGATAAAGCTATTGAAGGGGCTGTTATGAAGAAGAAAGATATTATTAAAATAGAAGAAACTGCTGTTAGTTTTGATGATGTTGCTGGAATGGAAAAAATCATTGAGGAGCTTTATATGTTATTGGTGCACATGAAACGACCAGAAATCTACAGGCGAATTGGCGAATTACCACCTAGAGGGATTTTATTACATGGACCAGTGGGATGTGGGAAAACCTTACTTGCTAGTGCAATAGCTGGGGTAAAATTATTACAAATCTTCTTCTTCTCTTGATTTTTATGCCTGATTTTGTCACTCCCTCTGGTTTCTGGCTAATTCCTTTATATTTGCTAGAGTCTTCCCTCTCTTCTTCCCAAGTTTTGCTATTCTTTCCTCCCATTTCTTCCTAGCTCTTCCCTTCTTTTTCTTATCCTTATTCTTTGCTTCAAATACCTTTTTTACTATTGTGTTATGTTCCATTCTAATTATGTGGGCAGACCAGTTTAGTTGCTTTCTCTCTGCTTTGCTGATTATCTCCTCTTGATCTAGTCCCAGTTTTATTTCCTCATTCCTTATCCTATCCCACTTTGTCTTCCCCACTATTTTTCTGTAAAAATTTCATTTCCATTGCTGTGATCTTTCCTTCTTGTTTCTTTTGGACTGCCACCAAGTTGTACTCTTTCAATTTTATCTTTTTATCTATCTCCTTCTTCCCAAAAATTGTTCTGTTTAGAGTATGATATACGTTGTTTGTTTTCCTTATTCTTGCATTTATGTCTAAGTCTATCCTTCCACCTTGTGATATACTGCTCAAGTACTCATATGATGATACTTCTTCTATCATGTTCCTTAATAAGTATTTCTTTGGGGTAGGACAAAAAAAATGGGAATGGGGCTGAGACAGTATGAAGTAAGTATATAGATAAAAATGTTTGTTAGTGTATAACAAACATTTTTTTATTAAAGGTTATACTTATTAAAAAAAACAAAAAGGAAAAAGAACAGACCAAATTATTTAAAACATAATTTTCGTGGGTTCTTACCGAATTGGTCAACCACATTATCAATAAAACTCTCAAATTTCTCAGAAATATGCTTCCTATGCACATTCATCATGGCAAGACCATTGAGACGACATTCTGCCATAGTGCTTCTAAGCCCTCAAGCTACTAAAAGATCGTTCAACACTACATGTCCTGCAGGGTAAAGTGAACTATAAGGACTTTTCTCGTTTCTCAACACTTAGTTGTTTTGAGCCAGGTTTATCTTGCCATAGTTTTTGCCATACTTCGATTTTGTTGTTGATATTTGATAAATTGTAAAATTGTGAAAAGCTTTCACCAGCTTATACGAGGTCTTCAAGGGACATGTCAACATTTCAGCTGGGTGTAATTTAGATAAGGAAAATGTCGGGGTGTTTTCTTCAGAAAAGCGAACTTCAAGAGAATTAACAATCGAGTCTAAGTATGGTATTATTAAAGAATCCGCCAGAATTCTGAAGGGGTTGCTGCGGGGTGGTTGTTCCGATGTTGTTGTCTTCCAACAATGCGTGGCACTGACTTCATATCTTCTCCCAGTCCAATTTTTTCTGCAACGATAGTAGCGTCCCAAATAATTTCATCTATGACGTTTTCTGGACCGTTACGGTGTTTTTTTATCAATTGCAAAATGCGACTAATGTCTTAACTGCACCCAAAGCTACGGATTGGAGCACGTTTACCACAGGTTCCATCATAGCCGAGTATTTGGCTAACAAAATAAGGCTGATAATAAACGAAACTCTAGAAGCTGCTGTATGGAGCTGATTGTTTTTTCTAGTCACACTATTTCCTTCCCGTAACATGGTTTCTAAGGCCTCCATTATAATAGGAAAATACTCTTTAAAAACTCTAATACTTTTGTGTTTCTCGCTCCATCTTGTTTCGCAAAGCCTGGAAATATTTGGTATCAATTTGCATCTCAAAACTGATTCTCGAAAAATGTAATAATATCTTTCTTGCATTGTTATCTCTGTTGCTATATCTGTAGTGTCCTTCCTTATCTCATTTTCTCCTCCCTGCTTCATTGTTTGTGTTCTGCACAAAAATCCGCCCATATGCCCAGAATTTTCTTTGTAGTTGTCTTTATCTCTTTGTTTTTATCTTTGTCGACTTTTATTTGTTTCCTTTGATCTCCCTTTGTTGTTTCCTGCTATTCGATCCGTATACTTCACTTAAGTTTGTTTCGAACTCGGCGAAAAAAAAAAATTGGGAAAACTTTTCTTTTTCGCCTCCCTTACCATATTCTTAGCCACATCTCTGTTCGTTCTATAGTTTGCTCTATCCTCTTCCGAATTTGTTCTTATGTATTTCTTCCATGACTCTTTCTTCTTCTTGATTGCCTGCCGGACCTCTTCATTCCACCAGTGTGTTCTCTTTGTCTGATTATTATATTTTCTCATTCCACACACCTCCATAGCTTTATTTCGCATTAAGTATCTCTTTAAAAAATTCTCCACCTTTCCTCCATAGTTAAGTTCTGTGTATTCTAAGTTTTGAAATTCGTTGTTAGCTTTTTCTTGGTATTTTAGTCTTCCTTCCTTCTGCCTTAGCTTATGGATGTTTATTTTCGTGTAGGTTTTCATCACTTCTCTTTCGATTTTTATATTATTAATAGTTGCCATGACTAGTCTGTGGTTGGTTCCCATTTCTGCTTCTGCTTCAGTCTTTACCTCCTTCACTCTGTTTTGGAGATTCTGAGTGTATGTGATGTAATCAATAATACTCTTAGCCACAAACGTATATTTATCTTGCCTCCTCTGACTCCACATAGTGTTTCCAATCAATAAGTCGTTTATTTGGCAAAATTCCAACATTCTTTTCCCATTTCTATTCATCACTGCCTCTCCGTGAACCCCATATTCTCCTATACTACTGCCCTCCTTGTGTTCAATTATAATTACTTCCTCTCCTTGTTCTTTGGAGTTATCGAAGATTTTTTGCAGACTTGAGAAAAAATCTCGTATTTCCCTATTTAAGTCAATTCCTTTGATTATTATTATTATAAATAAAAATAAAATTGTTATTTATTCAATAAATTTGTAGGAATTAAAAGTACCACTATTAAAAGTATCAGCTCCAGAATTAGTAGCTGGAGTATCCGGGGAAAGTGAGGAACGAATTCGGGATCTTTTTATTAAAGCAGCAGCTTCTTCACCATGCATATTATTCATTGATCAAATCGACGCCATCACTCAAAGTCGCCAAAACAGTCAAAAAGATATGGAAAAAAGAATTGTGGCTCAATTATTAACTTGTTTTGATGGTACTAATTACATCAAATATATTTTAAAGCAATTTTTTAATTCTTTTAATTACTTCTAGATTTAAATAAAAATAAATCAGCCGATCAAGTATTGGTAATTGGAGCAACAAATCGTCCGGATTCTCTCGATCCAGCTTTGAGAAGGGAAGGTCGTTTCGATACAGAACTATGTTTAGGTGTTCCTGATTTCGACGCGCGATTAAAAATCTTAAAAACCCTCACATCAAAATTAAAATTGTCCCCAGATTTCAATTATGAATTAATATCGAAATTAACACCAGGATATGTTGGTGCTGATTTAGTTGCTTTAAAAAAACGTGCTACTTTAATAGCTGTGAAAAGAGTAGCAAAAAATGATCTTCAAGAAATAGATGTAAATGATGACAAGAATCAGAATAAAGATGTTTTGACTGAATTACGATCGTTATGGACCAAAAATTTTGTTGAGAATGAAAATTTGACTCAGTTTAGTGATTTGAGTGTTACAATGGATGATTTTCTTAAAGCTGTTAAGTTGGTTCAACCTTCTTCAAAGAGGGAAGGTTTTGCTACAGTTCCTGATGTAACTTGGGATAATGTTGGATCTTTATCTGATGTAAGACAAGAGCTGCAGTTAACTATTTTAGCTTCTATTAGATACACAAAAGAGTGTAAAGCGTTGGGAATAACAGCATCAACTGGAGTGTTATTGTGTGGCCCTCCTGGTTGTGGTAAAACACTTCTTGCTAAAGCTATTGCTAATGAAGCAGGAATTAATTTTATATCTGTTAAAGGTCCAGAATTACTTAATATGGTAATTAAAATTAATAAAGCTAAACACAGATTTAAATTTTTTTAATTATTTTAGTATGTTGGTGAAAGTGAAAGAGCAGTGCGCCAATGTTTTGCAAGAGCACGAAATTCCGCTCCTTGTGTAATTTTTTTTGACGAATTAGACGCTCTTTGTCCAAAAAGATCTGATTCAGGAGAAGTAAACAATAATTTCGCATTAATAATCAATTTTACAACATAATTTTTTTTAGAATGGCGCTGGAACTCGCGTTGTTAACCAAATGTTAACTGAAATGGACGGTGTAGAAGATCGTCAAGGAGTCTACATTTTAGCAGCTAGTAATCGTCCCGAAATTATAGACCCTGCGGTTTTAAGACCGGGACGTTTAGATAAAATCTTATACGTTGGTTTACCGACCGCAGCAGATCGTTTTGATATTTTAAAAACTATCACAAAAGGAGGATCGCAACCGTTATTAGATTCTGATGTAGATTTGAACGTAATTGGCTGTTCAAACGTTTTGGAAGGTTACACTGGCGCTGATTTAGCAGCTTTGGTTCATGAAGCTAGTATTGAAGCTTTGAAAGATATAATGATTGGAGGTAAAACTGATGGAGATGGAAATGCTAAAGTTTCTTTGAAACATTTTAAACGAGCTGCGGCTAAAATTAGACCGTCAGTAAATGAAAGGGTATGAAGGAGTGAAAAAAAGTTATTATTGTAATTAATCTTATCATCTTTTAGGATCGTAGACATTATGAAAAACTTAAAGAACAATACAGTACTAAATCCAGGCGAAAAGATGAGGTTAATGAAGTTGATTTTATTAGTGAAGTAAACTAAGTTTAAATCTAAATAATATAATTTTATAATAATTAATAAAAAAATATTGATAATAGAATTGTGCTTGTTTATTACACAAATTAATTGAGCAAATTCTAATTTGGTAAAATGATTTTATGATGGCACATTTTATTTAGCAACAAGTTGTCAGCTTCAAGGTGTTTGTTCAACAGAAAGACGTTCATGTTATTATCTGGAAGGTGCAGATCGAAAATCGTTGACATGCATCTTAGTTGGGGTGGCAGAATTTCCTTTTTGCATCTAGTGTGAGTTGTTCAACTTATTTGGTTATGATAAAAAATAAAAGTTTAATCAATTTCATAGAGATATCTGTCAATGAGCTTAAATTATAGGCTTTTAGGTTTAATCTGAGATAAATGTTATCACCCAATTCCTATAAATAAGGTCAGAATGATTTTATTAAATTTTTCTCTAATTGTTAGGTTAAGAAAAAAATAGAGTTCAGTTATGTAAGGAGCGGCTCCTACAGTGGGTGTGCAATGTGTATTCAACAAATAGAAATTTGTCACACAATTATTGAATTTGGCCAAGAAATAGCAAATAAAAAAAAATACAAAATAAACATAAAATAAGACATACCAAACAAATAGAATGTATGCAATTAGTACAATTACTCAGAAAGGGTTTCAAATCTCATCGTTGCAACGGGCTTCTCTTACTAGACCGACGATCTTACTTCTCAACTCTACTCTTCTTTTTTGGTTTTCGACTCTTCCACTGAACTTTTCCACCAAACTTCATCCTAGGAATTCCAACTTATGATCGAACTCACGCCTGTTCTGGAATTAGAACTCTTTTTCTTTTATTCCATCAACTGGAACTGACTCTACCAATTGACCAGGACTCATCCGGGACCAGTTGCTTCCAACGTCTTTAAGTAACCGTCACCAACTCTCAACTTCTGACTATTTGTCTCTGCTTCAAACCTGACTGACTCTAATTTTGTTCTTCAGTGGCTACCAAGTGATTCTTCTGAATGACTTTAATTTTTCCCATCTGTGATTTTAAGCCCTTCTTTTCGAGCGCTCTTAACCTAAACAATCAACTAAAGTAGGGGAGAAATCATACAAAGAACCTTTCTCAAAATAATAGAACAAATAATATTGAAAATCAATCCATAAATTTAACCGAACCCATGATTCGCTACAATCTTTTAAAAAATTTCAGTTCTCCAAAATTTCATCATTTATATGTTATTTAAGCATATCCTTCAATATGCTTAAACCATTAAACCTTTAATTTGATACAAAAATTATTATATGTATAATTCCCATAAATAAAGTCAAGATGATTTTTTGAAAATTATCATTTTTATGATCTTCTTCATGAATAACCAAACGAACACGGTTGCAAATGTGTTAGTTCCCTGTCAAGGTGTCGATATTGATGTCCATTTAATCTTAGTCTTTCTAATGTATTGGCTGCATACATACAATTAGGCACAGAGATTGGCAATGTTGGAACCAAGCTTTTTGCAAATGTAAGATATGTGATGGTCCCAACACAGTTTTGAGTCCAAACACACCCCAAGAAATTTTACAGCGGTTTTGCAATTCAAACTGCAATTGAGCATGTTATCTGGATACTGCCGTGGCGAGAATACGGAAATATTCGTTTTATCGGCATTTAATTTTAATTTAGTGCAGTTAAATCACAGTTCGACATCGTTTCTCGCAGCAGCACTTTCTGACACGGCCACATCATAACATTTATTTTTATTAAAAACAGTGGTGTCATCAGCAAAAATTATTACCGATCTATCAGATAAATTTGACACATTTTGCGGCAAATCATTGATATATATCAAAAACAACAGTGGTCCCAAAATTGAACCTTGAGGCACACCTACCATAATTGTATTAAACACGCATTTGGCTTACATGCAGTAAGAACGTCATACCCATTTAAACATATTGCTAGAAAGAGACTGGAGTCGCGGCCATGACTGTCGGAAAGCACAAGCACCCTATTCTTCTGACCCAGTTTCTTGCCTGCTGCATTTTGACCCAGCTTTTTATAACTATCTTCTTTACCTTTGGTTGCCTTTGGTAGTATTTCCCCTGAGGATGAATCGGCGCCTTTTCCAGAGAAGACCTTTTCGTACTAATTATTGCACAATTCCTTCTTTTGTGGCACACTTGACTCCGTTTTCTTAATATGAGTTCTAATTCTTGTCGTGGTTGGCGTTTGTCTTCTTCACGTATTCGGCGAGACTAGGATTTCAATAACCAGAGTTGAGCGATTGTTGTTGATATCTCTTTGGGATGATAAATGTATAGGTAGCAACAACTTTTCGCTGTTTATTGTATTCAGTCCGTGATCTTCTACTGGTGCTTGCTTTGAGACGGGTAGTTGGAAAGTTTATTCTTTAGTCTCAGAATATATTTAGTATTCGTTGTTTCGGGTGCAATTAGTTGAGTACGCCTTCGGTGCTTATTTTATATGTTAGTATCGAAGGAAACGAAATCTAAGGCAGCGGCTCCCTCATCATTCTTAGATGATCCTCCCTCACCGTGTTGGTAGAAACCAACCGGTGTTTTGACAACTTTACAACATTTCCTTTCGCCACTTTTTTTGATCGCCGAAATCTTGTGAAGAACAAATAGTGCTAGAACTTCAAGGATAGGTAAAGGTTAGCTTGGGAAGGAAGATTAGGACATATATTCAGGAATAGAGCACATTTTGATCAATAACGGATTTGGTAAGGTTTATTTATGGAAGAGAAAAGAAGAATTGAACTCTAAAAAAGACACAAAGCCAAATGATAAATCAACTGCAGAAATTAGAAACTTTAAAGAAGAGAAATGCTACAAGAGCATAAGATTCTAGGAAATTTCTTAGGATACAAAAAAGGTTGGACACAAGGTACAAAATTGGTCTATTTTTTTCCCTATCTACTCCCTACAAAAATCACCATCGCTAATCAGCGAAAAACTGTTAAAATCGCTGAAAGTCTTGTATTATTTATTCGTTGATTCAACCTTGAGTTGATCTTCATCAAAAGTTGATTTTTGTTCAAAAGCATTAAATGTGATTAAGTATGTTAAATATGTGTATACAAAGCCAAGTAGCTCTTCGACATCAATAGGAAATGCAACCTCTAAAAATATCTCTAATTGTAAGTAACAATCGTATGAAAATGAGATACTTCATTGTTTGTGGTTTAGAGTCTTGTTATTAGATCTGATTGTCATATACATATCTGTCTTTACAATAATTTTGGAAGATATGTAGATAGAGATTTCGGACTGCGTAATTTCTTTTATGTGGCAAATAGATATTGTTGGACCTTTCTCATTTATTGCTTTTTGAATTTGTTATTGTGTTGCTCTGTTAACCCTCGAGTGCGACATTATACATTATATTGAGGTACAAGTGTACCCCAAGTAGCATTCCAGGGTTAATCCTGGAATCTGTTTTGTGTCTCTCTGCCTGTGCTAAAGGAATTTGGAACTTACTACAAACATCTGGATGAAATTTTCGAAACGACAAGAAGTTTCTATTCATTTATGTATTACTACAAGTTGATAAAGAAATGACTTTGGCAAAGTTAATAATTTATGAAAGTAAGTATGATAATTTTAACATGCCAGCTATTTTTCGTTCATAAGTCATACAGAGTTATCAAATTTTAATCATAATTAAGTTATTGTATGTTTTTTTAATTACGAAGAAAGTTTTAGCGAGTTGCAACACATAAAATATAATCTAATGAATATACTGTTAGATTGTGAACAATTTGATAATTTTAAAAGTACACCGATGTCAAAAAAAGTTGAGTGTAGTCCAGTTAATTTTTGAAATAAACGAAGTTAAGTTAGTTGCGTTGAATTGGAACGAATAATAAGAAAATAAGGTATATTAATAAAATATTATTTTAATAATCATTTTTTAAGTTAATCACTATTCGTCATACGATGATTATGTTTAAACATAAACACATTAATTAAATCATAGTTAAATGCAGCATTACAAGATAAATTTTAAGGTTAGATTTGATTCAATAATAGAGGGCGCTGATGAAACTATATTTTTATTAATTACTTTTAGTTATCATTATATCACGGTAATTAATATACAATAATCATATTTAAACTTAATTTAATATATCATCATTGAAATTATACGTGATATTTTAAAATATTAAAATAAAACAATAATTTTAAGGTTATGTTGTGTTGGACGGTAGGGGGCGCTAATAAAAAAGCGTTCGTTTGTGTTATGGTTAGGTGCGTAATTGCGGTGACGCGGATTACAAAAACCGCCTCGTTTTTTCGTTTAGCAGATGATGGGAAAAATAAGTACTTGCAGAGGAATAGAAGTGATACCGTTAAATACTAATAATCAAAAATATCTTAATCCAGTTGTGAAAAAGCACAGCCTGGAGGGGGATATGAATAGGTTACCTTTCGTTGCCGCAGACAGGGTTTTAATACCTCGCGTCCAAAAAGTAAGATTTCGAGCATTTTTCATATTCATTCAATCATTATCATTAATAGAAACTGAATACAATTTGAACTCTAATTAATATTTTTGAAAATTCATTGCTACCAGTAAACAAGGTTAACTTATATTCTTATAGGTGTTAATCATTTTCTTTTATTACCCTTGTTTTTCTAGTATTTAGAATCGCATGTGGACAAGGTATACATCACAATTGATGATATGGCTGATGAGTTACAACGAACTTATAAAGAGTATGCGAAACGTAAGCGTGAAGGGTTTCGCGCGTCCGTTAAGCAAGCGTATCTATCAGTTTTACGAGCTTACGGTGTAAATGACCAACAAGGGAGCTCTTCAGAAGATTTAAGTGATGAAGAAGTAGCTCCTGGTCACTTTGTATGATTTTAATCTATTTGTTTTTTTTGACAACTTATGTTAACCTAACTTTTTTTAGATGGATGGTCAATTGGCAGATGTTTACAAAAGGAATATCCCAAAAACTCCTGTGGACTCAAATGAACTCATTGATATCAGCAGTGATGATTCTGACGATGGAAGTAGGATGAAAAAACCTACAAATGGCCCATCAACATCCCATGAGAATACAGTTTTACCTGAAGACTTTGTCGAAACTGAAATGTTAAAAAATAATGAAAGATCAAGGGCGCAAATGGGCCGTGGAAAAAAACGAAAGATGGATTCGTATAATACATTGCTTTCTGTGAAAAGGAAGAAGACTGTGGCAAGTTTGGAGGAATCATTTGTTACCTTTAAAAATGTAGGAGGAAATGAAAAGATTTTGGAGGAAATTTGTATGTTATTAGTTCATATGAAACATCCGGAAGTTTATAGACAAATTGGGGTTCCTCCACCGAGGGGTATTTTATTACAAGGACCATCTGGATGTGGAAAAACACTCATTGCTAATGCAATTGCAGGGGTATGTTATAGTATATTAAAAAATTTGTTATGTAAGACATTAGTTTTTAGTGAATGAGTGCTTTAAGTCTTATGAAATGTGTTTTTTCTGCCATTTTTTGTAATTCGCGTTTTTATCCTTTTTTAATAACAAAAATAGAATAAATTTTGACAATGTAGGGAAATAGGTATGTAGCAGTTGGTAACACTTGAAAATAGAAATTTGAATTGACAATTAGAAATTGTCAAAACAAAATGTATTCACCTGAAAAAATGTTTCATGTACACCTCCCAAAATAAGAGAAATTGCTCACACTTCAATATCCTCATCATTGTGGACCTTGTATTTGATGTTAAGAACATGTTTAAACATCATAGACAAAAATTGTCACATTGACACCTTGAAAAATTAATGATACAATGTCACCAACTTGAACTGGTTCCATAAAATGTTGCTAAAATCTCATTACAGCACCTGTTTGAATACTGTAATAGCATTCATTACCGTCGCGAATTACAAAAAATAAGTTTTGTGAGATTAAAATTTTTTCTTGAATCAGCACTCAATAGCGTTTCTGTCTGTTCAATTTATTTGGTATTTTTAAGTGTGTATTATTCCTTTAAATTGACACTTTCGGTATGTGGTGTTTTTTTGTGTGTTCTTGTTTCTTGTAAGCAAGATGAAATGTTAAAAAAATCTATTGTTAAAAATAGAGATACACTGGGTACAAATTATTACACTGCAAGGTACCAGGTAGGAAGCACAACTCTGGAACTGGGTACAAACCTTGTATCTGGTGTATTGTTGTTGTAAGTAGTTGGAAGCATCATGTTTTGTAAGAAAAGTAAAGTGTGGGATTATTTCTCTTTGGACAGTGATAGTGTGTTACACGCAAAATGCGCTTTGTGTGGTAAAGCAATTGCCAGATGTAGTATAAGTAAATTTGGTTCCACATCATTTCTATTAAAACATTTAAAGTTTGTTCAGAAGAAAGAACACGAAGAATATGTGGTAAAATCTACAGCCAGTAACATAAACAAATTTGTATCTACTAAACAATCAAGTATACTGCGAAAAATAACTGATTTTATAACATTGTTATAAAACGGGATATAAACAGCAAAAATTCTTAAGAATTACATCTGTACTTGAGAGCTAAAGGGGTGTAAATCCACTTTTAACAAAAGTGAACTAATGCTCAAATAAGCATGCTCTAAAACACAGTATTTCATTTTTAGTAACATTATTTAAAAATACCTTATTACAAGGAAAAATGTTTTGGTTATAAAGGAATCCTTTCGTTTTTAGTGCAAAATAGTCGTAAGTCCAAAATTTGAAAAAAAAAAAAAAATTCTTTGAAAAATAATTGAAGAGTTATTGAGATATTAAGTCAAAAATTTATTTCTGTCTTCTAATCATTTTACTCTGATCATCATGGAAACTAATGATGAAGCAACATTTGTCAAATTAGTGTCATATTCCTCATCTGAGTCAGATATATGTATGTAGAAAGTGATTTAACCACAAAACCTAAATTAAAGTGTAAAAAACAAATGACGTGTGAAGATAATTAGAACAAGAATATATGAAAAGTTAGGAGATAACGAGGTGGTTTAATAAGGAGGTTTAATACCAGATATATTAGCTTTACCATCCATTTTATTAATGACGTGTTTGATTATAAACATTATGTTCTTCACATTTGCGAGATTCCTAAAAGTCATACTAGTGAAAATATTGAATACAAGTTTCAAACAATGCTTGATCCGTGGAATAATAAAAAAGACAAAATAGATCTAATACTGAGGGATAGTAGCGCCAATGTGAAGAAAGCTTCACAGCATTTTGAAATTGAATCTGAATCGTGCTTCCTTCATTCCTTGCAATTGTTATAAACGCCATTAAGTCTGTAGAAGAGATAAAGGAGTTGATTAATAAATGTCATTCACCATCGTCATGTTGTAAGCTGAAATTCATAGAAGAACAGTTTCAAATGCCGCCCAAACTTTTAATTCGAGATGGTCCAACTAGATGGAGCTCATCCTATTATTATGCTTAAACGACAACTCGAACAAAAAAAGAGGTATCACAATTTTTCCAAAAGAACATACTCCACTTAAAAATTTTACAATGGCTGTGTGGGATACATTAAAAATATTGGCGCCATTTGAACAAATTACTAAGAAAGTAAGATCAAATGAATCCCTCATTTCTGAAGTATATTTATTTATTTTAACAAATATTTAGATGATTTACAATTAAAGTTCTCTAATCTGTATCTAGTTAATTTAAAGGAACAATTATTGGTAAATCTGAATAATCTGAATAACATTTCTTGATCCAAGTTATAAAATAATTTTTTTTGAAGAAGATCAAAGAAAAGGAATCAGATCTAAAACGTTACAAATAGGAAACTGCTTTATAGAAGATCACCAAAAGCTAGTTGAAGTTATTGATACGACTGAAAATAGGAACATTTTGAAGTAAGAGACGACAGTAGCAATTTGAATGAGTGAAGATGATGGCTTACCCTTAACTGCTTAACGTACATATCTTTTGCCAAACGTTGGTAAAAAAATATTTGTTTTTATTGTTGATAAGTAATCTTTTTGAAACCATACATACATTTTTTGCGCCAAAGTTATAAAAATACACAGTAAATATAACTGAACGTTGCACAATTTCGCAATTTTTCGTTAAGCATGTTGCAAACAAAATTAATTCTTACTATCCATACAATACAATTTGGAATTGCCATAAGGAAATAACACAAACTACATTAAATCTACTACAAACCACTTCTCACAGCTTTCAATGAAGACAAAACTCATCATTAAATCTATTAATCTGGAATCAGAGATAGAGAATTAGAAAAAAAAAAGTAATCGTGAAATGTACCCCATTTTGGCGTCAATGTCAAAGAAGTTTTCAACTGCACCTGGAAGTTCTATATATTTAGAAAAGTTGTTTTCGGAGGCAGAAGCCATTTGAAAGCAAAAGGAATAGACTATTAGCCTTAAATGGCGAGAAACTGATATTTCTGAACCACAACGTTCCCTCGACTATTAAAAATATGAGTTTTTTATACAAAATGTATTTTGCTTTTTAAATAAAATATCCACTTCTGTTACTAATTCTTACTCTTGTTTACCTGTATATATCTCCTTATTTACCTTAAGTACAGGTAGCCCTCGGTTTACGCCGCAGTTCCGTTCCTACAAGCCCCGACATAATTCATTTGAGTAATTCAGTCTTCATTTGAGAGTGGTTGATCTTGGACTTTTAAATGTTCTGTGACATCTTGAGCAGTAACATCATAATGTTTTCAATTAGATTCTCTTGTTATGGTACTTCTTCAAAATCGTGCATTAATGCTGGCAGAAGTTTACGCGAAACTCCACTTAAACATATTGGCGAAACTTCATCCCAAGCCGACTTTACATTATTAATGCATGTTAAAATATCGAAAGACCGCCAATAGTCTTTGACTGTTTTCTCTAAAGTGTTCAAAATTCTCACCATTTCCTAGAAAGTATTGAGGAGATAGTATGCCTTAAAGGTTGCAATAATCCATTGGCTGCAACAATGATGTTGTATTTGGATGCATGTAACAACTTTGACCGTCAATGTTGTTTTGATTTCGTCCAAGTTTTGAGGATGTCCTGGACCATTGTCCAAGAGAAGAAGTGCTTTAGGTGTTAATTTATTTTTTTCGCAAAACCGAAGTACAGTAGGGCAAAAATAATTTGTATACCAATCTGTGAAAATAGCTTATGTGACCCAAGCTTTCTTGTTCCATTTCCCGGAACTGGTAACATGTCTTTATTGAGACCCTTTAAAGCACGTGGTGTCAGTGAATGGTACGTTAACATCGGTTTAAGTTTCAAAGTTCCTGAGACATTCGCTCCCAGCAAAACGGTTATTCTATCTTTCGCAACTTTAAAACCTGGAGCAGATCGCTCTTCACCAGAAATAAAAGTTTGTGCTGGTAATTTCTTCCAATAAAGACCTGTCTCATCAACGTTGAAGATTAACTATGAATACGCGGATGATTTTGTGCTGTGTTTATCTGTCGCCAAGTAATCTAAATAGGTGATTTGAATATCCCAAGCGTATTCTGGTCCATGTCTGCTCGGTATGGGCTCATTCCTGTTGGGGGCTTTGATGCTCAGCCAAAGCAGTTCCTTTTTGCGTTCTTCTATTATAATCTCTATCAATTCAATAACATTTTAAAAATCAATTTTATGTAATAATACAATGTGTAGTCTCGCGTGATGAACCACTGTTCGCTTGAACACATGCTGGATGTCCAACTAGCTTTTTCAACAGTTTGTCTTTTACTTCAAGCAAACTCCGTACCTTCGCAGATGCTTCTGAACTGACTGGCGTTTCGTTTGCTCACGCAGATTATGTCAGTCTTAGAGGTGCTTGGCGAACGTCAATTGGTGTGATGTGTTTATTCGAACTTCGTTATTGTCTTGGTTGTCCGACTTAGACTACTCGAAATTTACCAATGCTACAATAATCATTGTAATAATTTTGATTTATTTGTGGTTTTGCAGAGAGTTTTCAGGCGTTATGTATTGAGCATTTGTTATTTAATTTTGTTATTAATTTGTTGTTGTTTTATTGTTGTTGCTTTTCTTGTACTAACTGTTTTTAGTGGATACTAAATTGTGCTTTTCCCCGTTATATATCCCGAATATAAACAAATAAGTAAATTTAACTTAATTTTTTTCTATTTTAAAGGAATTAGAAGTTCCTTTATTAAAAGTATCCGCATCGGAATTAATCCATGGAGTAGCTGGAGAAAGTGAAGAGAGAATTCGTGAACTTTTCGAAAAAGCAATCGTGGCATCTCCTTGCGTATTATTTATCGACGAATTAGATACATTAATGAAAGGTAAAAATCAAAAAGATCAAAAATCGATGCATCATCGAATCGTTTCTCAATTGCTATCATCGTTAGATGATTTGAGTAAAAACGAAGGGGCCGATCAAGTTCTTGTAATAGCAGCAACAAATAAACCCGAACGATTAGTTTCTTCGTTAAAACGAGCGGGACGATTTGATAAAGAAATCAATTTAGGAGTTCCGAGTTATGACGGTCGATTGAGTATTTTAAAGGTTTTATCGTCGAAGTTAAAATTGGCTGAAGAATTTACGTTTGAATCGATTGCGAAACATACGCCGGGTTATGTTGGAGCTGATTTGGTGACGTTAATTCGAGAAGCAGCTATGATGGCTGTTAATCGAGCGTATACTGATGTTCAAGAAAAATTAAGTTTGAAAAGAGCGATGGCACTGCAAAAATTAGAAGAGGAAAAGGCTAAAGCAGAAGCTTCTTTAATTACTAAACAAAATGAAGAAAAAGATAAAGAAGAAGCCAAAGATGACGACGATGACGAAGTGGTTGATATTGAAACAACTGATAAAAAAGATGATGAAGAGAAAGAAGAATGTGCAGGTGGTGATGCTGTTGTTATTATCGATGATGATGTAAAAGAGAAAGCTCAAGTTGAGGTGAATAAAGAAGATCAATTAGAAGAACCTTTAGTGAATCCCGCAACTTTGATTGATTTTAAACAAAAAACGAAATTAGAGGAGTTATTGTCTTGGTTACATAGGGAAATACCTTTCGATGATAAACATTTAGGGGATGTTTGTATTAGTATGGATGATTTTGCTAGAGCCTTAAAAATCGTTCGACCATCTTTACAAAGGGAGGGATTTGTTACAATCCCAAATATAACATGGAATGATATTGGAGCCATGAATGACATCAGGCAAGAGTTACAACTATCAATACTTGGACCTATTCAGTATACAAAACAATTTAAATCACTTAAAACGTCAACAAAAGGGATCTTATTATGTGGACCACCAGGTTGTGGAAAAACATTAGCTGCTAAAGCAATTGCTAATGAAGCAGGAATTAATTTCATTTCAATTAAAGGACCTGAATTGTTAAATATGGTAAGTTATAAAAAAAATGAATTTAACACATAATTAATTTATATATTTTTTGAAATAGTATATAGGAGACAATGAACAAGCAATTCAAGCTTGTTTTGAAAAAGCACGATACTCGGCTCCATGCGTTTTATTTTTAGATCAATTTGATGTTTTATGCGCTAAAAGATCAGATACAAATAATGTAAGTTTGGTGTGTGTTTTTATATGATATATGTTAAACTTGTTTTTAATTTAATAGAATGAATCATCAACAAGAATTTTGAATCAAATGATTACCGAAATTGATAATATAAACGGCATTGAAGGCATTTATTTTATAGCTGCTTCAAATAAACCTGATAATATAGATCCAGAAATTTTGCAACTTGGACGTTTAAATAAAATTTTATATGTAGACTTGCCTTCGTCATCAAACCGACCAGATATATTACGCGTAATAACAAAGGTAAATAAAAAAAAAGCATACCATTCTTTTAAAATTAATACATTTTTTGTTATTAGGGTGGTACGCATCCTTTATTAGGAATAGATGTTGATCTAGAAATTATTGGAAAATCAGAAGAGTGTGATGGATTTACAAGTGGAGATTTAGTTCAGTTGGTGGAAGCAGCGACGATGGAATCTATTAAAGAAATTATTCAGGCTGGAGAAGTAGAAAAAGAAGTTGTTGTCACTACAGAGCATTTTAAAAAGGCCGTTGCAAAAGTTAAACCGGCACTTAGCGAAAAAGATCTGAAACATTATGAAAAGTTGAAGAAGTTATTTGGTACGAAATCACCTGAGAATGATTTTGAGGAGATGGAATATAGTTAGGATTAACTGAAGAATTATGTTAACGCGATGTTTATCATACAGAGTGTCTCATGGAGCTGTTAGAATTTTTTCAATTTTTTAAAATATAAATTTGTGTTATCTTGTCAGTTTGTAGCTGGATATCTTGTACCACTCAAATTATAATAGACCATTTAAGCTGTATTCATATGAAAAGTCTCCAACTAATTATAGGTTTAGTTTTCAGTACGTTTATAATAGTCTCTTGCCATGAGACAGTTTGTATTTTGGAATTATTTTAATTCTTTTTTTTTTGTAGATGTTAAATTTTTTTTCCTATTATCACAAATTTGTATACACAATTTTTTAAATACATATTGTATCGTTAACCTATTGTGTTAATAAATAGTTCAAAATTTTATGTTAGTAAAATCTGTCATATAATTAGTTTTCTTAGGTTTCCTTGTTAAATGGAAAACAAATTTAGGAAATTCCAAGGACGGTAGAATCTACAGGACTGCTACAGCCTTTGTTTTTTTGTAGCTACAGTTAACGACGAGCCCGCATCTACGTCACACGACGTGCGTCGCTCAAGTCAGTTGGCACGTGGTATGACGTAGTCAACGTTTTAATATTTCGTTAGCTTTTTATCTATTTATTTCATATTTTCATTTTCCATTAATCCTTCAGAATAACTTGATAGTTTTTTTTGGTACCATCCATATTTTGTCATGTCGTTAGCTGTTTATCTATATATTTCATATTTTCATTTTCCATTAATCCTTCGGAATAACTTCATAGTTTTTTTGGTACCATCCATATTTTTATACCTGTTGTCGTATCTCTATCATGGCAGTAATATTAAAACACTTGCAGATAGATTCCGGGTGTTGTAACTCAATAAGTTGTGCACTTACACTCAAATTGTTTAATTACTACTGTTTTGTTGACTGATTGAGATATGGACTATCAGTTTTCTCCGTGTTCCTAAGGTGTTTTTGGTTTCATTTACATAATCGTGTCGACGTAACGAAATGAGCAGCGAGTTGTATTTTATTCTGTATCTCCTTTCTAATTATTCCATTTTTATTGTCGTCTAGTACTAGATACTTAAACTCATGAACTTGTTTCATGTTTGTATTGTCGTTAACTAAAACATCAAATTTAACTTCAGACTGACTCAGTATCAGAAGGTGTTACTCAGGGTTTTGTTACTGCCTAAGTATTGGCACTCTATAGAGGTCCTGAGATCTATTTGAGACCAACCTTTGACCGCTTCAATTAGAAATACCGTATTTTCTCGAATCTAATCCGCACCCTTTTTACAAATTTTATATGCTCTAAAATCAAATGTGGATTACAATCGAGTGCGGATTAGATTCGCAGTCGTATAGTTGCGATTTGGAAAATAGTAAAATAAAATCGCATTATAACAATAACACTGTTAAGGGTTTTAGAACGATATTTACATTTTTATGTATCATTTTCTGCCCATATTACGTCATCTTCGGATCTGTCCAAAGCAGTGGTTATACAAAACTTCTTAAATGATGTTATAATATTGTTTTCAGGGATCGTTTTCCATGTGTGTTCCTGGTCTGCGACTCCATACTTGTCTTAACCATTCCATCATCAGCCTTTCCATTATTCATCCTTTTATTGTGCCCTAACTAAGACGTCATTCGGGAAGTCTTTCGGATTTCAGAATGGTTTTTTTCTCAATATTAATAATGACAGCAATTTTTCCTTATCACTTGTTACTGCTAGCATACTAATGTTATGCACAATTTTTCGCAACCACTCGTTTCTAAGGAAATTAGGAGGCATATCCAGATATACTGCCATTTCGTCGGCATTCACAGTTTGAGACAAATTGAAATTTTTTTGAAAATCATTTGGAGCTTTTGGGAAATTGTAGTTTGTCCAACCTTTGCTAGTATTAAAATTACAGAAAGAGTAATCGAATTACAATTGAAGGACTATGTTACGGAATACAACCTTTTACCGCCTACACAGTCAGGTTTTAGAAAGCATTATGGCTGTAATATATTGTGGTATCGAATATTGTGGACGATGTCATACGAAGCACAGACCAAGGAAAATTGACTTCGATGTGTCTCTTAGACTATTCAAAGGCTTTTGATACTATCAATCATGACATGATGTATGCCATGCTTCGCTACATTGGGTTTGATGATCTTGCATCGGGGTTGTTGCACAGTTACTTGACGGGCAGAATGCAGTGCGTGAAGGTGAATGGTCGCGTTTCATCGTTTCTTTCGACAACGTCCGGTGTTCCTCACGGTTCAATTTTGGGTCCACTGCTATACTCACTTTACACATCGCATTTTAATAGATACATAAAAAGTTGTAATCATTATTTCTACGCGGATGACACATATATATATATATCTTTTCTGCCATCGGATGTCGATGATAGGCGTTACTGCCTTTGTCTTAAAGCTGCTAAACCAGAGTTGATTTTATTTGGGCCAAGAAAGGTGATAAGTGACAATTCTGTTCGGGATCGGGTCAAGATAGTTGTCAACAATCAAGTATTGCCGCTGAAGGATTGTGTGAAAAACTTGGGTGTCTTATTGGACGAAAATTTAAACTTTAATAAACACATCAATAAGTGCACTGCTTCCGCGTATGCTGCTCTTAAGCTGATTTATGGCGGTCGGTCGTTCCTCAATCGTAGAACAAGGGTGCTTTTGTGCGAGGCCTTGGTGTTAGCGCATTTTAATTATTGTGATACATTGTATGATCAGTGTATTTCGTATAGTAATACGAAAAAAATTCAGAAAATTCAAAATTCTTGCTTGCTCTTGATATTTGGGTTACGGGGACGTCAGCATGTTTCGCACAAATTAAAGGATTTGAGTTGGCTCAACATGAAAAACAGGCGCATACTTCATTCGGCGGTTTTGTTCTTTAATATAATTACTTTGAAGAAATCTCCATACTTCTTCAATAAAATAAAATTTCGTACCGATGTTCAATTGAATATTCGATTCAAGGGCACTCGTACCCCGCCGATACATCATCACCAGCTATTTAAGAAATACTTTTCATACCAAATAACACATATTCTTAATGATTTGCCATCAACTATAAAATGTTGCACTTCTTCAAGGTTGTTTCGTCACAGAGTGAACGGCCGCTTGTCTCAAATTCAGAATGCATTGTAGGGCGACAGGGATCGGGCAGTTTACGCTTAGTAATTAATTATGATTTCACCATCGGGTCTTTTTCTTTTCGTTTTTCTTTTCTTTTTCTCTCTTATACATTTAGAATTAGTTTTATTAGGTTTGAGTGGAAGAGCAGGTGTTGTTGGAAGAGCAGGCTGCACCTGAACTCCGCCTAATTTGTGCTGGCTTAATTTATAATAATTTTATGTATATATGTATACTATGCATAAATATATTATTATTATTATATATTTATGGTTAATAACAAGCATCGTATCATTTTGTTGTTGTCGAATTGCTCAGAGAAAGATGCGGATTACATTCGCAAACTAAATTTTTTTACCATTATGCATTTTTAAAATCGGGGTGCGGATAAGATTCGAGAAAATACAGTATATTGAAATAAAAAACCACTTGGGCTACAGTGGAACCTATCGAGCAGGACCACGTCGTCTAACGTCACTATTAACAAGTAACCTTTGAAGCTTTCTTCTGTGACGTGAAACCACCAATAAGTCTTTCCATGGGGAAATATGCATTATACAATAGGTGTGGAGTTTAGAAGAGCTTTTAACATTTTATTCTTGAATGTGAAGGCAGATGACAAAAAGGTTTTTCGGCATGCCGTTATTATTTTCCGGTAGCTCGATTAGAAATACACAAGACAGTTCTTTAGAATTACATGACGTCTCGTCTTTGAAATGGCATAACAACCGTTTGAGGTTCAAATGGTCAACGGGATCGTGATACGAAAAATAATGATTTTCATTTTATTATGCCTTCTGTGTAGTATCCAGTGATTCTAGTGTAATACCTCTTCGAGTTGTTCCGTGTTCTAGCAAATCGATGGTGGTGGACTCAAATTCACAATTTTCGTGATTTTCGTCTTATTTTATATTGCTAATTTTCGCAAGTATTTAATAAAACATCCTGTGGCATCAGATATTGGTATTCGCTTTAATTTATGCTTCGATAGAAAATTACAAATTCCCGATCGTAAATGCAAGTTGAAGAAAATCTTTGCTTGACTGAGGTTCTTAAAATTTCTTAAAATTTTGTTCAAGCGTCGGTAATCCTTACACGAACGAATCTTTCCGATCTTCTAAACATTTATTTGCCAGGATTGTGTCTGTTTTAACTTAAAATTCTTTTTTGATGCTGATGACTTATTTTACGAGAGTCGAAATGTTGTTACTTTCTTGAATGCTCGGTTGTACCAATGGTTAAATGTTAAGTGAAGCTAAATGCTAAATAACTGCAGTTATACTTTCGCTTTCTTTATTGACACACAAATATTCGGATGGAAAGGCTCATAAAGAAGCTCATACCAACATTATTTTTTTGAATTGTGATTTTCTGGACCCTATATTTCACGAATCGTAGTTTGAAGACTGCAACCTTTTTGGGTTAAGGTTTGTATAATATTCGCATGATATTCGTCCGTATAATATTACGCTTGGTTCGGTGTCGAATTTCGTGAACACTATCATGAGATAGTCAATGATAGCTTTAATAGCATTTCTGTGCAGTTGATGGATCTCGTTATAGGTATTTATAGCCGCACGACCAATTTATTGGTTGTCAGAGATCTTTTCTAGATAGACCGAGGATAATCTCAAAGCATGGTGTTAAAGCATGGACTATTTGAATCTTGTACAGATGTAGGTCTAAATCATTATATAAAATTCTTCTTACTGATCTAATTGGAAGTCCCAGAGCAACGCTATGTCACCCTGCAGGTCTTTGACGACTTCTTACTACTTGCTACTCGTAGTCTCTATATTTTCGGGTAATCACTGCCAACTAACTCATTATAAAAGCTTCGTACAATCGTACGGTTTAACTGACTCAATATTCAAAAAGTAAAACTATTTTCTGCTTCTGTACAAAATTTCATATTTTGCCTTAACGGTTATTGCAAAAAGAATTTATGTTTTATAATACTTTTTTAATAGTTTTAAATAGTGCGGTTTGACTGCCTACCCTGTGCATAGTTCTTTTATTCTTGCTATGATATCTTCTTCAAGCCCCCTGCAACACAGTGCATAGTTTACTTTTGGCACATTTTAAGGTCTATAAATTTTAGGTGCATCTCTTCGTTTTTTTTTAATCTTTTTCTTCATCAACTGTCTGCAGAGTGAATAAATTACCTGTGCATGACCTGCCTAGGGAAAACCGTTTTGGTCTTCCGATATTTTTCCTTCAATTGCATTTTTTATTCTATTTTGTGATGTCTTGCTGTACAGCCTACTTATAGTGCTTGTAACACAAATACCTCTATAATCATTTGGCTCTTTTCTCTTTTTCCTCTTTTAGTCGATTAAATGTATCTCATATCTCCCGGCCCAATCGCTGTACTATTTTTTATAGTCTTTAGATATGCTTGTCCCTCTTCCATTCTTTCGTTTTTGTGTTCCTTATCCTTTTGTTTTATATATTCAGGAATTCTTGTGTGTTTTTAGTCAGTAATAGTATATAGTAACATTATGTAGTTCAGGGTACATAATGTTCTTTATTTTTTGTTTTCATCTGTTTAATGGTTTGTCATACCTCTGCCTGAGCAGGAACTGTGCTGCCCCAATATATGTGTTAATCTGGGCGTACTTCAGTTCCCAGTATTGGTTCTTCTCTGTTTTTGCTTTATTACGTACCTCTCTATTTTTTGTATTGTATTCTGTTCTGGAAGTTTCTGACTTGTGTGTTAAATTTTTTTGGTGTCATCTATTTTTTGTTCTATTAGTTCTTTTAATTCTTCTGTTATGTAATGTTTCCGTATTTTTCCATCTTCAATTTTATATTCTAGAACTTCTTTTGCTATTTGCTATCATGTGCATCGCTTGTTTCATTTACTCGTACTCTGTTCCACATTTTCTGTTGGATCCAGTGTATACAGCTCATTTTCCAGTTTTTTCTGAAAGAGTTTTCCAATACTGTCTTGCTAGAAGAAATCAATTTTATACCGTCTTATTTTATGACTGTCTTGTTTCTGCCTGTTTAAACCGTTTAAAATTCTCTGTAAAGGCGTTTCTACTATTTTATTAACAAGGAGATGGTGAACTGTACTACAGATTGGTTTTTAGTTATAATTTTATACATTTCTGGTTTAAAGATGGATTGAAAGGCAGATTGAACTGATAACGCACTTCCTGGATTAGCATTTTCTGTATCTTCTGCTGCTACCTTTCCACTGCTGTAGCACTAACTTGACTTTTAACATTTTCATGCAAGTCCTCTATGATAACACTATCATGTCATAAGACGGGTTGATGTTAGTAGTAATGCTGATAATGTCATTATAAAACTAATCCTTTCCTGGGTTGTTCGCTGCATCTATTGGGACATTTTTAATTTTAGGAGAATTATTCTATCCGTGATGTAATGGTAATCTATTATAAATCATTTTCTCTTAATTTGAATATCGACAGCCCTGAACAAGTTTTGTCTACTGCAAATCATATGTATGTATAATTACCTAAATCTTAATTTCCGATGCCATTCTTCTTCGTTTCCTCAGTACTGTAATATAAGTTATATAAGTTATATCTCTGTCTTAAATAGAATATAAAAAAAAAAAATCTATAATTAATTTTTCAAGGATTACCAAAAGAATTAATACACAAAACATTTTTAAAATTTTTCGTTAACATTATTTTTATCAAAAATAATCAATTTTAGATATTCTTCAATCAACAAATCCTCACTTAAAAAAATTATCTATTTTCTGAACACGTCAGTTTTTAATATTTCACAAACCTAATACATTCTCAAGTGTCTTATCATACATTTTTATTGTGTACCTCGTGGTCAAAATGAAATCTGTATTATTTCTTTTTTTATTTTTACAATCTTCTATTTCTCTGGTTAGGCACACTTATGAAGGGTAATTATATTAACTTTTTAAATATTTATTGCCACGATTATCCCGTATAATATTTTAAAATATTTTAGCTGGAAACTTTATAGAATATGGGTTCCAACCGAACAAGTAGTCGAAGATTTTGGTATTTTATACGACAACACTTTAAATCTTGATTATTGGACAACTCTTCGGGAAGCTAATCAACCGGTTGAAGTGGCTATAGCTGAAATAGCTCAACCCGCAATGGAAAACATGTTTTATATGATTAATATTACTGATCAAACACAAATCGAGCATCTTAATAAGTTTGTATTTTGTGCTAATTAAAAAGATTTTGTTTTAAAGATTAATTTTTAGAGCATTTAATAAGGAAATAAATGATATGCGGAATGCACCCTTTCCAAAAAAAGGGGAAATTAATTTTAAAACTTATCATAGATATGAAACGGTAATCCTTTTATTTTTTTTTATTTTCCACATTGTTAATTCCGTCTTATCTTAGAGGATTGAATAAAATCAATTTCAGATTATGTCTTATTTAGATAATTTATCACAAAAATATGGATATGTGAGTGTAGAAAGTTTAGGAAAAACATTTGAAGGTAGAGACATAAAAGTAGTAAAAATATCAACTGGTGGAAATTTTGATAAACCTGCGATTTTTATCGACGCTGGATTAAGTCCAAGAGAATGGATCGGGCCAGCACAAGCCCTTTATATTATTGATTACCTTTTAGACAAATCGAATCAAAACTTAATCGAAACTGTTGATTGGTACATTTTACCTTTGGTTAATCCAGATGGTTACGAATACTCACACACTGTGGTAATTTATATCTTTCCGTTCCACTTTAAGATTAATTTTAGTATAACATTTTTTATAGCAAAGATTATGGAAGAAAAATAGAGCGAAACATTCCGAAAAAATTTTCGGTACATACATTAACAGAAATTTTGATGTGGATTGGGGTAATAAACTAAGTAAAGATGATACAGAATCTTGGAATTACCACGGAAAAAATCCTTTTTCCGAACCTGAATCAAAAGCTATAAAGAAATTAATCGAAGAAAACGTTGGCCGAATCCAACTTTATTTAAGCATCCACAGTTTTGGACCAACCATTTTATATCCATACGGATTTACCCACAATCAACCGGAAAATATAAAATTACATAAATATCTCGCTGAAAAAGCATCACAAGCGATATTAGATTCTTCCGAAATAGTGTATAGAACGCGAGCTTCTTGTGGTAAAAAGTTTTTTTATTCCGGAAGTTCAATTGATTGGGCGGTGGGTGTTGTTGGAATTCCTTTAGGATATACAATCGAATTACCATCTCCTGGTTATTTAGGATTTGATTATCCCATCGCCAAAATCGAAAGTGTTCTTAAACAATTTATTCCTGCCTTAGAAGTTTTTCACGATTTCATTAAAACAAGTTTTTATCACCCGGAAGAAATTGAAGAAGAAGAAATTTTAGCGGTCGTTGTTGAAAATTACAAAAATGATAAGAATGAAGAAGAAGAAAATGTTGCAAGTGTTCATAAAGAACCAGAACTAATTTCTGAGAATTTGAATAACGAAATTAATGACGAATTGTAATCAATATAAAAATAAAACAATATAGATTGAGTGATTTTTAATCTGTTAATCTGGTTTATTTAATAATTCTTTTAATTATTAACATACATGTGTACGAGATGACGATGGATTGCTTTTAAACCTTCAAAAACTTCTTTTGCAGATGGAATTATTTGATCTTCGGGTACAATATAATTATCGATTGGACCTGCTAATTTTATCATATAGCTTAGATCAATTTTTCCAACGCTTTTTGCCCAATCAAAACTGCTTCCATAAATATTATCCCATTCAGATGGACTTCCTATGACATATTGAGTGTTTCTAACAGAATTCATGGCTTTTTGCAGTTTTTGAGCCACATCTAAAAGTGGATTTATATTTTCCGGTAAATCTTTTGTATATCCCCAAGGATGCAAAATTTTTGCACCGCAACAATGTAAAGAAAGGTAGATTTTTATTCGATCTTCGCTCTTAAGAATTTCGTTTTTAATAAAAGTGGTTTCCGGTTCTGAAAATGGTGTAGGTCCTGAAGATGTTTCGCAATTAGCAGTTGGTTTCCAGTGAATGTTAAAATTTTTGTTGAGGTCTACACCAGTGCAATTTTTGTAATTCATTCTATTTTTTTCCCAAGCTCTATTCTAAATTAGTTTTTTACTTAATTTTTTAATATTTAACTTAATTAAATTTGTTTTTACCTGTTTGAAACTGTATTGATATCCGTCGGGGTTAACAACTGGGGCTATGTACCAATCAATTTCTGATATTAAATCATCATTTTCTTTGTTCTCAACTAATTCTCGGATAAGATACATTGCAACTGCAGTGGTTAACCATTCATTTCCATGTATACCAGCTTCTATGAATATAATTACATTTTCAATTTCAGGATTTTTGCTTATTTTTATTAGTGGTATTCCACGCATTTCGGTGGTATTCATTGGAAACTCGGTTGTTACAACATCTGGATATTTTTCAGCTAATAAGACTCCATACCAATCGATAAAGTCATCAAATTGGTTGTATCTGTGAAACTTGTATTCACTAAAACAAGAAATTATTAAGGAAATGATCGCTTGTGTGTATTTATTACTTACAATCCATCTATGCCAGTTTTTAACGCTGCGATACTTGTCAGAAATGTTAAATGTAACATATACAATATACAAGAAGTCATATTGAAATAACAGACTCAGGTGACTGTTGAATTAAAACCTATACCCACATTCTTATAGGTTTTCTAATTAAAAGTTCTATTGTTTCAGGTTGATTTGCATTGTTCTTTTATAAAGTAAGTACTAAATTGTGGTAATAAACAAATTATAATAGTGTTTACATTTCATTCAATTACATCATTCGTTTCAATCTAACAGGAATTTATGAGGCAATACATTTTTTTTTGATAAATTGAGTATATGTTTTAGATAAACTCTTATAGACACAAATATTTACTTAAATACTTATAAAGATTAATCGGTTAAATAAATAAAACCTAAAAAAGTTCATAACACTTATTAATTAATTATTAACTGTTCCCAATATATTGATGTTATCACATATTAGTCCATAAATTTAATCGAATCGCTCAGCCTATTAAAAACTTAAGCTTATTTAATTACGTTGTTTTTATCTACTATTAATTTTTTTCTGCTGATAATAATCTTTTTTTTGCCGTTTCTCTTATGCTCTACGGCATCGAGTCTTCGATTCATTTTTGGTAGTTTTTAGGAGGTTTTACTTCCTTAATGTTCCATCCTCTCTGCTGAATCGTATTCTTGATGCTGCCCACTTACTTTGTTCTGAGTCTTTCACGTCCCCTCTTCCCTTCTCCTCTTGTCTTCATCATCCTCTTTGGGACTTCCTAGTTCCTTTCTTGTGGTTCTATTTCTGACTCTATTTCTTCTGGTCCTGTCTATTATTTGCCTTAGGTACCTCATTTCTGCAGCTGTTACTTTGGTTTTGTGCTTATCCTGCATTGGCCAGATTTTCGCCTCATATATCAATGTTGGCACATATGCTGCTTTGTACTGGTGTATCTTTGTTTTGTTGTACTCACCTCTTTTCTATTTATCAACGTTGTGTTAATCTGGTAATACACTATTGTTGCTTTGGACGTTCTATTTCTTATTTCCTGATCTATTGCCTCGTCAGTGCTCATCACTACCCCCAGGTATTCGTACTGATTTACTACCTCTAATCTATTCTTTCCACATCTGATGTTTATGTCTTCTTACTCGTTGCCGATTTGTTTGCTAATTTTCTACATTATTTTACTTCCAAGCGTTTATTTCCTTTTTTTTGCACTTTGTACAGTGATGTTCCATTTATTGACAAGGCCCGCAACTTTCTGACTGTGTCCACCAGTAATACTAATAGACTTTCGTTTACTTCTTTCATTCTCCTACATTTGAGTTTTAGGTTCAGTGTCCTTTATTTACTATTCTTTAAGGTTTGGTCCATAACCACAATAAACAGGAGGAGGCTAAGGGAGTCTCCTTGTTTGATTCCTTTTTCCATATTGAAACTTTTAGACTCTATCCCTCCTATTCTGACTACTATTTCCTGTTGTTTTTTTCTACAACACTCTTATGACTTTGATCAACTTGTCAGGTATTCGTACCTCTTCCATGTTTTCCAAATGGTCTTTTTTGGTATACTATTAAACAAATACACAATTGAAAGTCCCTTGGTGCAATATTATTAATAACATTTGGTAAAAGAAGAGCTCGCGGTTTATGAACGACTGAGCATAATTAATAAATCTGATGAGTTATAATCGAACCAACACAAATAAGATTAACACGAATGATATAAATTAAATGGAGTTTTATTTAAAGATAATTTAATAACAACTTTATAAATTAGTAAAATGAACTGGGTTTTTATCAATACCGATTGTTAAATGTGGTTGGTTCGCTGCTGCTGACTAGAAATCCTGTTTACATAAACAAAAAAAATTGTACATATCGCTAATAATCGAACCGCTGATATTGAAAAAGTAGCAATGTTATAAACGTAAACACGCGAATGCTGAAGCCGCGATTGTCGAGGCCCTATTGTATCAAAAAATGTTTTATGCCATAGAATTTGTTATTTAATTTTCAGTTTGTTATTCAATAAACTCACCAAAGTTGGTGTAACTATCGTTATACATGATGTAGGAAAAAAATGGTATAAAAAAAACGTATAACCAAAATGAAATGTTTTTCTTTCAGTTCTCGTAAACTAATCAAGATATTGTACAACTGATTATCTTATGTAACTTGCTAAATACATTTTAACTGTATCGCGCTTCAAAATGTAACGCACCTGTTATATAATACAGATATACCGGTTAAACAGCAAAACAACAAACAACATCCCAATAATCAGTGGCATCCGACAAGGTGATTTTTCAAGTCCACTACTGTTTAATTAATACACTCATGGACAAAATAAAAAAACAAGTAAGACGTGGTAGAGGATATAGAATGGGGGATGAAGAAATACGAATAATATAATATATGCAGAAAAAGCCAAATGTAGTCAAGTAATAGAGCAACAAATGAAATTTCAGTATTTGGGTATGAATATAACAGATTATGGTGAGACAGAAGAAGTTCTGCAACAGGTGATAAAAGCAAATAAAAGAGCGAGATGTCTCAACCAACAGATTTGAAGAAATAAATATATTAATATAACCACAAAAACAATATGCAAAACAACGATAAGGCCCATTATAACTTATACAGCGGAAATGAGACATGAAAAACAAGAAAACTTGTTGAGATAATTGACATAAAAATTCTTAGGGGGATTTCAGGGAAAGCCTGATGGGACATAGATTGAAGTGAAGGTGTCAGAAAGGAATGCAAAGTAGAAAATATTAATGAATAGGAAAGAAGAATGGAATCAACACATTAACAGGATGACAATCTGATGGCAAAAGAAGTATTGGACGCCCAAGAAAAAGATGGAATGACAGCATATAGATGAAAGCTAAACCGATGAAGAAACAGGCTTTAGTCTATTTTAGAGGAAGGAAGAAGAAGAGGAATTTTCTGTGGAATTCAGAATTAGATTAGATAGAATCAAATTAGATTTATCCTAACTTTACATAACTGTACAAGCAAATCGAGAAATATTATGAGGTCATTTACAAAAAGTTATATGGACTTATTCGTGGACTAATTGTAACATTGAAAAATGGTTTGCATCATTGAATTGATTATTCTAATTTTACATAAATATATCATTTTAGTTTCAGTTTCGACGATGTCATCCACGATTTCTATTTTCAGGTTTCTATGGAGGTCGCTGATTCTAATGTCCAAAATACATCAACGATATTTCTTGGAATGTAGTAAATCTTTGAAGTATAGCTACGATAAAATCTAATGCAGCCTTATAACTGGATGCCATATGTCCATACGTATTTTAATATTTGCTTACACAGCAACAAATATCTCACTACCATTTTTTACCAGTATTTACTTTTTAATAATATTTTTTATCTACGACTGCTTGGTTAAGTCATCATTACAACACTCATTTGAGGTGATTTGAGTTATGTAATGAACATCATTACCGCACTGGTTTCATTACGTAACGCATTTTTAGCCCAATCAGAATAGACTTAATTTATTGAAACGAGCAACAATACAAAATACTCGTGTGATTACACGACTCGGTCTATGACCTCGTCGTGCAATTCTCCACACTCGTACAGTAATTATGTTTGTAGCTCACTTGTAATATAAAAAACTATTATACGAAGCTTTGCATCAAGCGTTATACCTAGGTATTTCGCAGTGTTTGGCACTAGGCACTATAATATTTTTGATATTACTGTTGATATATATTATCGGTAAAGTTAACATGAACAGATTTGGTTTAGCAAAAGTGGCAATAGCATTGTTTTTGTTTGGAGTGTATCTCACGTGTGTAAAAGGTGCACATTCGGACCAAATACACTTCCATGGGGTACACCAGCTTTATAGGTTTTAGTGCCGAGTAAGTTTTTTCTTGATTTATTCTAAAATATCTATTGAGATGTAGGGTTCCATTCCAAGCAAGCCACATCTTACCAAATGCTTGTGCCACATCTGAAAATGTTACACACCATTTTTTTTATTTCTCTTTCTATAGAGTGTTTGTTTCTAAATCAGCAACATAATGATACCTCGTTTCGGCTTTCTCAGTAATTAAGTAAAACCAGGCGTTTTTTTACGAGATAATATTTTCTTTTATGTACACTTCTTTAGGTTACGTCAATGTAGGAACCTATAATGGGTCTTCTTCTTGATCTTTATTTCGTTTAAATGGTTATTCTAGATGATTTGCAAAACTTCTTCTTTTTGAATATTGTTTCTAGTCAAGTTCCCATCATCGTTTTTAGTTGGAGGGTTCTGTATTATAGGTCTCTTAAGTCTTTTTGTACCTTTCCAAAGAAAGTTATTAATACCATTATTGGTTATGGTTATTAGGGAAGCAATCAATCATAGGTTTAAGTTATCTTTTTTCTATTATTAATAGTCTAATTTCTTTAGGGTGATTATTTCCAGCTACTTAAGGGTTTAGTCTAGATGTATTTTGCCATGCTGCGGTTTGAATATCCTTGACTAATATATCTGCTTCTTGGTCTTTAATGAAACTACTATATTAAGGTTCTCTTCAAGACTAACCTTGAAACTTTCCCAGTCAGTCAATTTGTTTATTAGCGTCGTACTGTTTTTTTCTTTTTGAGATTTTAGTCACTAATCAGAATTCATATTTGAACTTTCTTCAATTTTCAAATATTTGAAGTAGGTATATGTTTTATATAATATTAATAGGTTTAGGGCACATCTAGGTCCTTGATGAACCTTAGTATTGCTTCAAAGTCTTGTTCCTTTATGTCAGTAGGTGCCAGGCAAATCTTTCCAAATTTTGTGTCTTAGGCGATCTCTGGCGACGCAGTCATAGAATATGTTCAGGAGTTTCTGACTGGTCGTTGCAAAGTCGAATAGTTTTTTCTTTTGTAACGGATCACAATCTTCGCCTGTCTGTGCGCTGGAAGTTCTTTCCAGTGCAAGGCTACCTTTGAGTCCTCCCATGTGTTAATCACCTGTTTTCAGTGGCTTTTCTGTGGTCCGCAGTCAGGTTGGGGTCTAATAAAGGGCATCCTCACTGCCTCTTTAGCCAGCTTGTCCACCTTTTTATTAGCCACAATATCTTTGTGACCTGAAACCCACCATAGGGTAACTTTATTATCCCTGAGACGTTTTCTTAGGTTATCGATACACTTTTTGACCAGTGGGGATTCACATGTGTAAGACTGAACTGCGTTTGAGACTCTTGCCCCTTCTCAAAAACACCAAGTACATTAATTTGTCATTTGATAAGTTACTATGAATCTATTTGCTTGCTAAGAAACTGAAAATATTGATGTTTCTTGATTAAATGTTTTGATCCACACTGTCGGTGAAGATCCGATAAGTTCTTGTTATTGTTTACAGATGTAGATTGAACTACTTCAGTTTTATATTTAAATTTAATATATGATTGATTGGTAATGTGAGTTATCTTATCAATGCTTAGAACTGATTGCAGTCCTTCACGATGTTGCAAGAGTTCATTAGCTTATCAAGATTTTTGACAAGATTTGTTATTGTTTATTTAGCTGGGTTAAAATTAATTGAAAGATCTGCTTTATTCATATATTTTGAGCTATGTTTTCCTCGATCGTATTTTGATTGAACTATTAGAAACTACTTGACTGTAAGTTTACCTGTAGTCTTAGTGATGATTCAATGCTTTTAATTTGGGAGCCTACTTTTTGATTGGTTCAAGTTTTTACAGTAAACTGCTTTACTTTGTAATTTAACTTTATTTTCTGCAATTCTTTAGCCAAAATAGATCTACGATAACTGGATAGATAATTTCCACCGCAGTTAACACACTTTGTGGCTTCTTACATTCTTTTGTAAGATGTTTAGCGGCACACTGAACTCATCACAGGTCTTTGGCATTCTTCTGTGTGGCCAAATAATGTGTCCAAATGTCTGACAGTGTTTGCATTTCAGGATTAGCTATAATGTTTTACGCAGCTAACTTTCTACTTTACTTCCTAAAATATTGGTTATATTGAAGTTTATCATGTAGTTTAATACTAGCATGTAGTATTTTAAATCCTCTTCTTTGAAAATCTTCAATCATTCTTTTATTTACACATGAGTGGTGGAAACTTATGATTTGTGATGCGTACTTAACATTAATTTTTTTGAAGTTAGTTGGTACTACATGGGAATTGCATAACTTCGAAGCTAATCTATGTCTTCGGTTACAGTTTTTATCATATAAAAATCAGGTGTATCAAAGAAATAAACAACACTTATGTTCCCAACTAAACAATACGGGGTTTCAGGAGTAAGTTTCAATAAATTAAATAATTGAATGAAATTTGATCCCATGTCCGTTATTGAGCATTCCAGCAGTTGTGGGTTAATCTAGTTTTCCATTGCTCATACTAATAATTTCATTTCATCCACTGTTGTAGTAAAAATACTCTTTCAGATATATTTCTGTATCACTTTGTCGCATAGAGCTTATAAACAATATATAAACTTTATTTGTTCCGTCATTTTTTGTAATGTCTGAATAAAAATAAGGGTCTTAATAAATGTTGTTATTTTTTAAGTATTTTTGTGTAACAACACTTTTTCTATACTTAATCAAATTGTCTCAAGTAGACCTATTAAAATTTCACATTTATTTTTGTCATAAAAACAAGTTATGGGGAAATCAAATATTATAATAATGCTTATTAATGTTTACTTAATCTAGCGATATTAACGTTTATTAAGACTTTATCATATTGAAGAAAAAAATAAAAAATCTATTTTATCTAATTCATTTCATACACAAATTGGGATGTGTTAGCTGATAGGAAATAATTTTTTATTTTGTCTTGAAAACGTAAATCAACGTTAATGAAGCACGACGAGGTAAAGGTATAGAAGCCCCATGTTTCGGATCATATGACGCGAACCAGCCGATGACCATACCAGGGTTAGGGTGACTCTACGGGACACGTCAGCCGGATGTTCTAACATTTAAGGGTGGAAATGTCACCGTGTTCGAAAGGTCATACAAAATTTACACAGCCCCTATACCGGAGACCGTACTTTGGATATTATCACCATGGCTGATGTATTAACGTTAAAATGTCGTTCGACGTCAACGGTTTATGCTATAGGTACTAAAACGTTTCTGGAAATTGTTTACTGGTACGAGTTGACTTTTTACGATAATCATAAAAATTATGTAAAGTAAAAAGTGTTTAAGGACATCTTTAAACCAGTAGTAAGAATTGAAGATGTATTACTTAAGTGGATTTTTAAATTTTGTAAAGTGTGGTTTTGGTAGAATGTTGAAGGGTGCTCGTAAAGAACTCGAGAATACTTTATTGCAATACCAATATGTAAGGATCCGTTAGGAGACATATCTCAAACGAGCAACGTCTCTTCTCCCGACCGTCAGGTATCTAAATGTCCTCTGTAGATCTACGAACTGCTACCCGTAAAAATTGACGACTTTCCTTTTCCCTGGGGACTGCCTCGAACCTCGCAGAAAACCGTCGTTAGTTGCGGTCGTATCGCCAAACGTTCTTTGATGTACCTCTTATATCTCCGTCTTTTCGACGTTTATGATCTTATCTAGACCCACGTACGAACGTACTCAATACGACAAAATTAATAATCTGTATAAAGCTAAATTAGAATCTTCTTGAGATAATATTGTAATATACATCGATGTCTAGTCCTGATATTAATCTAATTGGATTGCATCACAATTATAAAAGACGAATTTATATATCAAAGGTTAGTAAAGAAAAATGAAGGGTACAGCATTGTTTGTAATATTTTTAGCTGTTGCATCAGCTGATATTTTCCGATACGATGGGTACAAAGTGTACCAAGTTATTCCGACAAACGAAATTCATGCAGAAGTATTGAAGGTCTTTAGAGAAAATGAGGAATATGATTTTTGGAGTAAAACCAACATTCTTGGAGAATCAGTTAATATCATGGTTAAACCAGCACTTCAAAATTCTTTCGTAAAAATTCTTGAAACCAATAAAATTGAGTATTCTATTCTTATTGATGATGCCGAAAGGTTATTTTTTGTATTACATAAATAATTCATTTAATAATTAATTTATTTCTAGTGTATTTCAAGAAGAACGTTTACGTCAGACTCGAGCACCAAAAATAGAAAAAGGAAAAATAAGCTTTGATAAGTACCACAGATACGAAGATGTAAAACAAGATCTCTTTTTATTTTTTAATCTTTAAAATGTTTATTATTTTTAGATCCAAGCTTATTTAGAGCGATTGCAAGTCGATTACCCAGTTAAGGTGGGAACCATTGGAAAATCTTACGAAGAAAGAGAATTATCTTACATACAAATTGGAGATAATCCAAATAATCCAACGATCGTATTAGATGGTGCTATTCATGCTCGCGAATGGATCGCACCTGCTATGGCACTTTATTTAATTCAACAATTGGTGGAAAATGAGGAATACGCGTATTTAAGCGAAAATGCTAATTGGGTAATTATCCCTGTTCTAAATCCTGATGGTTACGAATACACCCACACTAATAATCGTATGTGGCGAAAAACTCGTAGTCGTGGAAACACCTGTTACGGTGTTGACGCTAACCGTAACTTTGGTTACATGTGGGGTGGTTTAGGAACTAGCAGCAACGAATGTTCCGACATTTATCACGGACCTTATGCTCATTCTGAACCCGAAGTCGCTGCTTTTACAGATTTCGTTCTAGGACTTAATAATGTTGAATTATATATAGCTCTTCATAGTTATGGACAATGGGTTATTTATCCATGGGGTTATGATTTTATTCTTCCTGATAACGTCGATGATATTCATTATTTGGGCGAACGAATCGCTGACGCTATTAAAAGCGTCAAAGGCACTTCTTACACTGTTGGTAATTCAGCAATTCTATTATATCCAGCTGCGGGATGTTCTGATGATTGGATGAAAGGTGCTGGTGGTGCTGATCTTAGTTACACTTTAGAATTACCTGGTGGGGGAAGCCAAGGATTTGATCTTCCAGCTTCAAGAATTTATGATGTTGTAATTGAAACCTTCCAAGGTATTCTTGCCGCTTACGAATATATTGTAGAAAAATAAACAATAAAATTCGTTTAAATTTTTTAAAGCATTATCATTTCAACAACCGAAGGGGCTTAACCGTTGAGAAATCTGATTAATCAATACACTCGATAATCACCTTATTTACGAAACCTATTCTTATCTTTTGTTTACCACAAATATGGACCAATCTTAAGTGGTCTAAATAGGTCATCTATAAAAGACGAGAACAACTAAATTCGAAATTAGTTGTTACAATGAAGGTTTTAGCATTGTTAGGTGTTTTAGTAGCAGCCGTTTTGGCTGATGATCATTTTAGTTATGAAGGGTACCAAGTGTACACTGTCATACCTACCACACGTGATCACGCAGAATTTTTGAAAGGAATCCAAGAAAGCGGAGAATTCGATTTTTGGAGCAATGCTAAAGTATTGGGTCAACCAATTAACATTATGGTCAAACCAGAACTTGTAACCGTTTTCTCAAAGATGCTAACGTTGAAAAATATTAATCATTCGGTTCTTATTGAGAATGTTGAGCTGTAAGTTTATTGATTACTATAGATATCGAAATTACATAATTTATGTTTATTTATAGCACCGTTCAAGCTGAACGTGCTCAACAAATTCGTGCGCCAAAGGTGGAAAAGGGTAAAATCAGTTTTACTGAATACCATAGATATGAAGTTGTAAGTATTGTAATAACGATCTTTTTTGTGATTTTATTTTGATGATCTTCAGATTCAAGAGTATTTGCGAAATCTTGGTGAAAAATATCCAGACAAAGCTCACGTTAGTTCTTTTGGTGAATCATCAGAAGGACGCCCTTTGACTAGCATTCAAATTGGAACGGACCCTGGGAAACCTACTATTGTTATGGATGCTGGTATCCATGCTCGTGAATGGATCGCACCTGCAACGGCCCTTTACATTATCCAACAATTGGTAGAAAACGAAGAATATGCTTATTTAAGTGAAAATATCAATTGGTTAATTGTGCCAGTTTTGAATCCTGATGGTTACGAATATTCTCACACCAACACACGTATGTGGAGGAAAACTCGTAGTCGTGGAAACGTATGTTATGGTGTTGATGGTAATCGTAACTTTGGTTTTATGTGGGGGGGTCTTGGTACAAGTGATAACGAATGCTCTGAAATTTATCGTGGACCAAATGCTTTCTCAGAACCGGAAATAGCTGCATTTAGAGATTTGGTACTCCAATTGGATTCGGTCCCCTTGTACATTGCTCTTCACAGTTATGGTAGCTGGGTACTTTATCCATGGGGATACGATTACATCCTTAGCGATAACAACGACGAACTTCACTCTCTTGGAGAAAATATTGCAGGTGCAATTTATGATGTTTCCGGTACTCGATTCACAGTAGGAAATGCCGCATTTTTGTTATACCCAGCGGCTGGAGCTTCAGATGATTGGATGAAATCAATTATTGCTCCATTGAGTTTTACTTTAGAATTACCCGGTGGTGGAAGCCAAGGATTTGATTTACCTCCTTATAGAATAACAGAAGTGGTTACAGAAACTTGGCAAGGAATTTTAGCTGCTTACAAATATATTTCAGATAATTAATTTTTAGTAAAAAACTGAAATAAATACTTGATAACACAAAAAATGATTTTTATTTTTATAAATAAATTGTATAAATGGAGATACTTAAGATAAGAGTTGCTTAGATAAACAAACACTCTAATCACTCTAATCGGTATACGGGAAGAGAACTACATTATTAAATTTAAAAATAAAACGTTAAAATAAATAATTGGAATTTTAATGGTACATTTAATTTAACTTCGAAAATAATAATAATAAATACAATTTATTTTAGATTTATAATTTGAATCAGCATTGTTGTTTTACGCTACACAGAACAATTCTGCAAAAGTATTTTGATAAATAACCGGGTTATTTTTCATTTAATTTCATTTTATTAGATAATATTTTTAATAAATGTCATCTATCTCTAAGTACATCTCTAAATAAACCTATATGTTACTCACGTCTCATACACAACATGGCTAAACAAAAATTAAAGCAATGTTAAGGAAAGAAACTGTTGTTTCATTCCGCTAACAAAAATTATTATTTGTGGAAAATTAAGACAATTTAAATCACTCTAGAAAGTCAAAAGTTTTCAAAGACTGATACCAAATTCAATCAAGAGTTTTTTAAATATAATACCAAATCTATGTGACCAGGAATTTCTCTCTAGATCCTTTGTTTCCCAAACAAGTATATTTTATATGCAGACTTTAAAAGACTAAGGAGATTTGATTCTCTTCCTCCTTCTCCTTCTCCTCCCCTTTCCAAAACTTACAATTTCCTCCTAGGCTGTAATAATTATTCGTTGTCGTAATCTCCTTCCTTTCCCGAATGCTTGTCATTTAGTTCTTGATAGCCTTGTTGTTTTCATCAAGGCTATATCTACTAAAATAACAAAATCTTCAAGCAGTAAGGAATATCAAGATCATTTCATAATCTAAAAGATGCCAAAGGTATGAAACAAGTCCTAAACAACCTCTACACTGAGATTCTGTAGAGGTGTGTCAAGTGCGTTAAGCTGGATACTCTTCACTTACAGTAAGAGTAGGAGCTAGTTACGGAGGATATACAATAGCAATAAAGCTGCATAAAAAAAGAGATAACGCTAAGACCAAAAAAGCTACTGCCCAAGAACGATAATTTGTCCCTGATATAATAAAGTCTGTGGTATCTTATTTAGGAAAGGTTAGGAATACCTACTGACTTACTGATACCGAGAAAATCACCAACTTATTAAACTTCTCTATCTCTAGGATAATATCTTCCAACTTCATAGAAGTTTAAAAAACCTTTGTTATGAATTCCGATCATATACTAAGGTTAACTGAAACGATAATAGAAAGGAGATAATACAGAGCTAATCCCACTAACAAAACTATGGACTAGAAACCTTTCAGATTGAGTTCCAGTACAAAATCAACCTAAACATTAGTCTTAAAACGTGTGAATAACTAGAAAAACAAGCTAATATTTCACCTGTCTCACCCAATCAGTGGCGTACAAGAACACTAAGGACATAACACACGTAACTAAGGTTGTGAATTATTATTCACTTGAGATCAGAGAACTTGTCAAACAAAAATGTGTAGCTAGCAGAAGATGGCAGCAATTGAGGGTTTTTCAGAAAAAACTATACTTACTTAACAACAAAATCCAGAAACGCAAAAGAGAAATTCAGAAGCTTATAGAAGTATCCCTGAGATCCTATCTAGGAGAACTGTCAGCAAATGAAGAGATTGGTTGTTTATTATGGATGGCAACTAAGAAAATCAGGAGATCTGTAACCTCTCTTCCTTCTTTCAAAAACAACAATGGACTATGGGCCAGAGATAATAAGCAAAAAGTAACACTGTTTCCTAAACAAATGGCTGAGATCATTACTCCCAAACCAGAGTAAAACAATTAAGAAAAATAATCACAATATCGCACCAGTTACTCCTAAGGAAGTAGTAGACGAGATAAGAACTAACCTGAATCCAAAGAAAGCAAAATTTAATCTTATCACAGGAGAAATCCAAAGTCCTTGCCTAGAAAAGGTGTATTCATGCTGTCCTACATTTTCATCGCAACTTTTTCACTATTAGTAATAATTTCAAAACTCTTTGAAAAACTACTACTGAAAAGAGTAGAAAGAGAACTAACACTATACGTGCAGATATTAGTTACACAAGAAGATGATTATTCGGACTTAAAAGAGATAAAAGCGAAAGTGCTTTAAGGAACTGGACTAGGTACCCAACTCTATATACAGTGTGAGGCAAAATAATGGAATACATTCAATAAAACACTTACAAACTATTTTGTAAAACTTATTTTGCAAAATCGGCGAAACAAGTCTATTTTGGTTTTACAAAACACACATTTGAGTTCATATTCACTAATCGATAGTCATTTGTTCCTAAGTTATGACGTCATCTACTAAAAATACTTTTATATTCCGTAATAGAAAAAATATTCTTGATGATGTCATAACTTAAAAACAAATGACTATCGGGAGGTGAATATAGGCTCAAAATGTGTGTTTTGAAAAACCAAAATAGGCTTGTTTCGCCGAATTTGCAAAATAATGTTTATAAGCGTTTTATTGAGTTTATACCATAATTTTGCCGCACACTGTATACTAGTGACATTTAGACCCCTGTGCTGAGTAGATAGAGCAGGGAGACTCTTTGAAAAGCTGCTGTTATGTCATTATGCAATATGGATTCCCACAAGGAAGATCAACAATCGGTGCTATCTTCAAAATTGGAAACTCCTTTGAGCTGACCCAACTTATAAATCACTACTCTAAATGCATTGTTATTTTGGTCCCTTTTGCTTTTAACTCTGCGCGTTGGGAGGAAATTGTATGAGCACTGCTAGCAGTTTGATAGTCAGCGAAACAACATGCTAAAAATACCTACTTTTATGCCAAGTATATTAAGAGAGAAGAAAAGGAGGAATCGCCGAACAACAACGTCTGGCAAATTGACTGACATCTGATCTGATTCCTCCGATCTCTGTAAGTTAGTTAAACCAGAGATAATTCGTGTATGTGTTGAGTTAAAGTAAGAGTGTTGAACATAAAGCTTCCTGTAGAAACATGACAAAGAAAGAGGTTACCCCGAAGAAATGCCCTGAAAGGCGATCCTAGAGCAAAGCAGGGGAATGGTTTAGGCGGTTGGTGATGGGGAGGAGGGGAGCAACGATGGGTTGAATCCGTCTGTAGACACAAATGGCAAAATTGTCCAACATGAGAACAACGCCGAGGCATTCTAGACTCTAGACACCATCATTCTCTTGACTTGGTTTGCGTTTCTTTTCGGATATTTGTACAATTGTAATACTGTTAAAAACCACTAGTTGTTGCTAGTGTACTAGTTGTACTTTTTCTTTACCTTGGCTTTCTAAATTATTCCTTCAATTTATTATAAAGAAACTCATCATGATGTGAGTCGTCAGAATTGTCATCAAAATCGGTATTTTCAAGTAGATAGTGTCAGTAATCTGTCCTAAAATTTGTAGGAACTCTAACGAGCCGGAAAAAAATTATGTATAAAATATTTTTGGTAATTTTAGTAAAAGAAGGAATGTGACTTAACGTTTAGACAGTACTTTGGTAACGAAAAAAATTCTTAAAAAACAGATTAGATAAATAAACATGTTGCATGAATAATTAGAATTACGATAAGCATTTAAATATAGCTTTTTAATCAAATCACTTAAGTATGTAGGGTACTTTACCTAAATATCCACATGTTATTTATTTAAATTTTTGTACGATTGATAAATATAGGCCACTCCACTCTATTTAATATGATTACATAGTTATTATTTCTCACATAGATCACTCAACTTATTTACGAAACCAACTTCAGTTTTATCTTATGTAAATATAACAAATGTGAAAAAAAACTGAAGTAGTTTCTAGTTTTTTTAGTCATCAGCTATAAAAGACGAAAACTATCCACTCATCGTTTAGTTGTTACAATGAAGGTTCTAGCATTGTTAGCAGTTGTGTTAACAGCCGTTTTGGCTGAACAAGTAAATTATGATGGGTATAAGGTGTACAAAGTCACACCACGGTCCCAAGATCAAGCGGACTTTTTGAAAAGTCTTGAAGATAGTGGTGAATTTGATTTTTGGGATCATACCAGATTGTTGGAATACCCCGTTAGTATTATGGTAAAACCCGCACTTCAAGCTTCCTTTGAAAATGTATTAAATTTGAAATATATGCATTACTCAATTCTCATCGACGATGTTGAACGGTAAAATTTTAAATAAAACTTTTATTTTAAATTTAATATACTTTAATGTTATAGCGTTTTCAAATTTGAACGTGAGGCTCAATTACGTGCGCCGAAAGTTGAAAAAGGAAGAATTAGTTTTACTGAATACCACAGATATGGTGTCGTAAGTATTGTTGCGGTGCAAATTTTCTTGTATAATAATTTAACGTTTAGATTCAAGCTTACTTGGAAAATCTCGCCGAACAATACCCAGACAATGTCGAAGTTGGCACTTTTGGTACATCATCCGAAGGACGTTCTATGAGTTACATTAAAATTGGAAATAATCCCGGAAATCCTACTATTGTCATGGATGCTGGTATTCATGCTCGTGAATGGATCTCTCCTGCAACAGCACTTTACATTATCGAACAACTAGTAGAAAACCAAGATTATGCATATTTAAGTGAAAATATCAATTGGTTAATTGTACCCGTTTTGAATCCTGATGGTTACGAATATACCCACACTAATGATCGTATGTGGAGAAAAACCCGTAGCCGTGGAAGTACATGTTACGGAGTTGACGGCAATCGGAACTTTGGCTTTCAGTTTGGAGGTCTTGGAACAAGTAGCAACGAATGTTCTGAAACTTATCGTGGAAAAAATGCATTCTCAGAACCGGAAACTGCCGCATATAGCGAATTGGTTAAAACATTAAATGATGTTCCTTTATACATCGCACTTCACAGCTACGGTAGTTGGGTACTATTCCCATGGGGATACGACTATGTTTACGCTGATGACAACGATGAACTTCAAGCTGTTGGAGATCGCATTGCTAACGCTATTTATAATGTCGGTGGTACCAGATATACTGTAGGAAATGCAGCTTATTTGTTGTATCCAGCTGCTGGAGCTTCAGATGATTGGATGAAATCAACTATTGCTCCATTGAGTTTTACTTTAGAATTACCCGGTGGTGGAAGCCAAGGATTTGATTTGCCCGCGTCACAAATTTCTAGTGTTGTTAAAGAAACTTGGCAGGGTATTTTAGCTGCTTACTCGTACGTTTCCAAGAAATACTAAATACAATTTTGTTTTGAGATGATTTAAAATAAAATACACATTAAATAAGTTTTATATATTTTTTTTATCTTCACATTCCTTTTCCATTTTTTAATCTTGATGATTTGTCAATTACGAGAATATTGATTGCTTAATATTCCAAATTACGTTGTTATATCTTAAAAAGGTGTCAATCAATATTTTCAAGTGGACGTGATTTATATAAATTTTTAACACCACAAAAAAATTAATTAGTTACCAAAATGAAGATATTAGTATTGCTTACTCTATCAATTACCGCCGTTTTGTCTGGGCGAGTAAGTTACGACGGTTATAAAGTCTATCAAGTTGCACCAGTAACTGAACAAGATGGAGAAATTTTAAAATCACTTAAAGAATCCGGTCAATATGACTTTTGGAGTAACGTAAAGTTTCTTGGACAAAAAGTTAGTATTATGGTGAAACCGGAGTTACAAGCAAATTTTACCAATATCCTTAACTTGAATAATTTGGACTACACCGTACTTATTGAAAACGCCGAAAAGTAAGTTATTTTAATAATAATTACTAATTAACACTATTTTAAATTATTATTATTTAGTGTGTTCCAACAAGAACGCGAGAAACAATCTCGCGCCCCTAAAGTTGAAAAGGGCAGAATTAATTTTACTCAATATCATCGATACGAAGCTGTAAGTACTATTTATTAATTTTAAATCATCAATTAAAATAATATTAAACTAGATTGAAGCGTATTTAGCAAGATTAGCTGAAGAATATGCTGATAAAGTGATAGTAAGACCGTTTGGTGTATCTTATGAAGGTAGGATAATGAGTTATATTCGTATTGGGAACAATGAAGGAAACCCAACGATTTTAATGGACGCCGGAATTCATGCTCGTGAATGGATTGCACCGGCATTCGCGCTTTACATCATACAACAATTAGTCGAAAATCCTGAATATGCTTATTTGAGTGAGAAAGTAAACTGGGTAATAATTCCGCTTTTGAATCCAGATGGATACGAGTACTCTCATGACGTAGATAGAATGTGGAGGAAAACTCGTAGTGCTGGAGTTCAATGTTACGGAGTAGATGGAAATCGTAATTTTGGTTTTATGTGGGGAGGATTGGGAACAAGTGATAACGAATGTTCTGAAATTTATCGCGGTCCGTACGCATTTTCAGAAGTGGAAATTGCTGCTTTTAGGGATATAGTTTACAGTTTAGAGAATGTAGATTTTTACATGGCCCTTCATAGTTTTGGAAATTGGGTGTTGTATCCTTGGGGTTATGATTTTCTTCTTACCGATAACAACGACGAGCTTCATTATCTTGGAGAACGTATAGCTGATGCCATTGCACAAGTTTTCGGTACTTATTATGTTGTTGGAAATTCTGCTTTTCTTTTATACCCAGCAGCTGGAGCATCCGATGATTGGATGAAGGCTGTGGGCGGAGCTGATTTAAGTTACACTCTGGAATTACCTGGTGGCGGAAGCCAAGGTTTTGATCTTCCACCGGAAAGAATCGAAAATGTAGTAATTGAAACTTGGCAAGGAATTATAGCCGCGTATGAATACATTCTTGAAATACAAAAAAATTAAAATGAATTTTCTTTAATAAATCTTTTAAACCAGCTTTGTACTTTTATTCTGAACGTCCGGAGTTAGTTCGTTACCTTTTAAGAAACCTTTTATAGGTAACAGAACAAAGCCAAGAAGTTATCCCGCGGCACTTATATTTCTTTATGTACACCAAGATTTTGTAATTATGTCCGGGTGCTCTCTTTGAACTAAACGTGAAGGATGAAATAATAATATTAATAATTAAACTAATTAATGCTGAGTGCTGTAGCGCTCAACTACTTTGCGTTTGTTTTTTTAAAGTAGTAAAGATTATAGGAAAGTTAAAATTAGCTAATTTAAAATTTACTTGAAAAGTTTAAATAAACTTTAAATCTATAATTAAAAAATGTATTGGGATTTACAGTTTTAAGCATTTCGTTTTTTTTATCAACGATTTTTCAAGTAGTTGTAATCCTATTTTTGGACTCCCTTCATAGATAAGGTAAATATTTCGAAATGGGTTTTATGATCAGACAAAACACTCAAAGTTTTAATCACAATTTATTAACATAAAGAGATACTTTATAAAGTTTTACTTCAAATTACTATTGCATATGATTTGTTCGCAGTTTTGATTTACAATATTAATTTAACATGTGTATGTATGTAAGCATGCAGGAAAATTTAATTTCCAGCCTTTATACTACCACAGCTGTAACATCGCTCGAAGCGCCTTTGCGTTCAGTCACATTAGCTTTTCATTAAACTGTCAAAGTAAGTTTCTCGGTTTTCCTTTATTAAATTTTACTATTCAATTTTACAGTATTATTTCGCATAGTGTTGTATGAATTTACATAACAGTAAACGTTAATCAGTTACTTGTTTATATATTCAAAATAATCAAAGATTTCCCCCAATGTCTATTTAAAGATGCTGCATATGTTCAAAGTAACTACATTTATTGATTTAATTACTGGTGTTGTATAATAGAGAGAGTTACCAAAGAATACAAAGGATTTAATGGGAGAGGATGGAGCGAAAGAACATAAAGCGTGGACTTAGGGAAATTTTGTTAGAAACGTAATGATATCAAGCCGAGTAATCCAATTGACGTCATCAAAAGCAATTAGGTCTTTATAAATCGGAAATTTTAATTTAATTTTGTAAACAAAAACCCCTAAAGAATTTTTTTATTAATAATGCATATTACAATCTGGTTCGTCAACAACAATAAGATGCCGGACTTGCTGGACTTCTTCATCTCAAAGGGTATTTCAACAAGTCAAATCAAAGCGGTAAGTCTATGTCAGTCATTAAGAAGCAATAAAACAAAATCTTACTATTATGAAGTTAATTACCCCTTTAAAATTAGGAATACGATAAAACAAATAAGAACGGCAAGAACAATATAGACATAGATTAGAAGACATAGAATAATCAACCAAAGAAAAAAATTTAATCAAAGTTGCTACTAAAATGTCGTAATGGTTTAAGCCCAGAAGCAGGTAGAGACTATTCATTATACAAAACAACTCGTAGATTTAAACGATAAAAAGCAAAATTATTTGATCAACATCTAGCTAATGAATTTCAACACAACAATAGTGGATATAATACCTACTTATCAGTCAGAAATAATTATGAAGCTGATTTCACCAGTGGAAATTGCCTTGGAAATCAATTGAAATCAATTTTTCATTCACTCCTAAATATACAAATCTTTCTAGTTATGTATTTACTATAGAAGAGGAATTTTCCGTTAACAATGGTAAATTTGATTATCTAAATTGTCAATAGACCTCAAATCTCAAATTCCCTATCATCCTAATGACCACCTTCTAAAGAAAGATATACTAAATCATAGTAAAAAACATAAAATCCTTTCTTACAACGACAACACTATTTTCAATAAAATTAGATCCTTAAGATCCAAGCTATCTAAAAACAATATTATTTGCACCTTCGGTGATAAAAATGCAGGCCTGGTCTTCATGGAAAAAAGTCTATACCTGGAAAAGACTTAATATAAAAGAAAGATACTATAAAAAAAGATCCTCTACCTGATTTCATAAACAATTTAAAGACACACTAAAAAAGACTCAATCTACATTCGAAAAATTTAATTTTTACATTAATAAACTAAACAACATGAACCCATTACACCCTATATTATACAATTTAGTTAAGCTCCACAAACCACAAAAAAACATAAGACCCATGTCAGCGGAATACATTCTCCTTGCAACAAAATGGCTAAAGCTATCCACTATCCACCACATCTTAACCAAGGCTTTACACTTTCAATCACCTTATTCGATAAGAAATTCAACAGAATTGAACAGAATTCTATTTTAGTCTCGTTTGACATAAAAAACTTATATGCTAACATCCCTGTAGTAGATACATTGAATATAATAGAAAATTTCCTTTTACATAACATCAGTCACTCTAATAATTTTAATTTTTTCGATGTAACGAACCTAATGGACGCTTTACAAATTATTACCAAAAAAAACTTTTTCATTTTCGATGAGAAAATTTATTGTATGCCAGACGGTTTACCTATGGGTTCACCACTATCTGGTCTCCTAGCTGAATTTTATGTTGACCATCTAGAAAAAGTTATATTTAAACAGAAAGAACATAATTTCTCAACAAAACATATACAATTTTATGCTAGATACGTGGACGACATCCTGATTATATTTGATGGTTCAAAAGCCAATTTGATTGACCTACTAAACCTATTCAACAATGTAGGAAATATTGAATTTACAATTGAAAGAAAAAATAATGGCCAAATTAACTTCCTCGATCTAAACATCTCACGAGATTCTATTAATAAGTGTCTTAATTACAAAATTTATAGAAAACCTACCTCCACAGATACAATAATTCGTATTTCAATTTCCTATTTCTCAGAGCCTTATTATCACCTATGAAAACAAAAGGTTTCAATAACGAAATTCTCACCATTATAAATATCGGTTTAAATAACGGTTTCAAATTGGAAGACTTACCACGAACCTTTTATAAAATCCATAACAATTTGATCACTTTCAAACTGTATCCTCATCGAACAGCTCCAAACAGGTTCATTTCTATTTCCAAATACAACCCTATAGTTAATTCACTACAGTGAGTCGTGTCTACATATAATTTTACTATTACTTCTACAAACAACAACAAAATTTACAACTGCCTAGTTAATTGTAAGCATAAATTCGAGAAACTACATATGTGTTCCAGCGTCTCCCAAGTCTCTCTACACAGTCCACACCACCTCTCCACATCGTCCGCCCAGTACCTGTTGCCTCTCTCCTTATTGCCACAGCGGAATCTGGCCATCAATCGTTTCCCTTCCTCATCTCCTTCCATCAACAGATACTTTAGAGTTTCTTTGTCACTATTTCCCTATACCTTAGGTTATATCTTACTTTCCGTATCTGTGACCTTCTTTCCTGTCTATGTATGTTTCTGTCCCTATCCCTTAGTTCTTTCCACATTTCACTCTTCTGTTGTCGATCCCAGTTAGTAAATATCCCACTCCCCTATAATATCCTTCCTTATCTCCCTGCCTATATATCAACCTTCTCTCCTTGATTTCCCTCCAGCACTCTCCAGGATCCTGCAATGCAGTTTTCTTTCTATCCTTTTGTCGTACTTCACTGCTCTTCTTCTACCAGCCTCCACCCTTACTGCATCCACCTTAACCTCCTCCCTTATTACACACCCTGGGAGTTTCCTTCGCCAACCCTAGTACACATCTCCAATACCTTGTTTGTACATCCTCTAGCAATCCTTGTTCTCTCCATCCCCATATTTCTGCGCCGTACATCATTGCGCTCCTCGCCAAGCCCTCAAACATAACCTTTCTTTTTCCACCATCCCTCTCAAAAGTTCTCTCCTCTCCATCCTCAAACCTGTCCCATCACCCTATTCGCTCTTTTTGCCTTATTACTCTTCAAGAACCTAGCATTTTGATGAATAAACAGCCTGTAAACTACCTGTGTAGGAATTCGTGAAAGTACAGACTGCAGTGGGCAGGGCATTTAATAAGGTTGCGTGAAGATCGTCTACTAAGAAGAACAGTAAATATTAGAATGCAAGAAAATGCTAGGAAAGCCAAGGAAAAGGTTTGATGAGGCAGTAGAAGCAGACGCTAAACGATTAATGCAAGTAATAACTGGAATAGGGTGGCAATGAAGAAGAACCATGGCCTAATAAGGGCTATAGTACCACAGAAGAGAGAGAAAGAGATCGAGAACTTGCAAGAGAGTCCACAAGCATATAGCAGATAACAATTCGGAATCAACAAGCAATTTTGGTAAAAAAACCTGTGATGTTTCCGCACAAAGTCCAAACTGTTCACCAATTATATCCTGCTGACTGTCAAGTGAAGTTAAGATGCTCCCATAATCTGTTAAACCTGGTACGATGATTTCGTATCCAAAGTCATAATGACGAATCTCATTTCTACTTAAACGATTACGATTTGTATGTACAGGTGTCCCGTATCTTCCGCATCAGAGCACTATACGGTGGTAGGATAAATTATTCTGAAGCGATCTTTCTAATAAAATTTTGTCGAAATGCTTATAATAACCGCACGGGAACAGTTTAAAGTCGTCCAATAGCGATTTAACAAAAGCTTTGTCCCACCCCACAATCTATCCCATCCTCGGCCAGTTTAACTAGTTTTGCCTTTTATAAAATATCACTGTTACAGATTACATTCTGGACTGAAATCTGTTTGCGTGTATTTATTGGTTTGCCAGAAAAAAAAATATAATCAAAGTATATTTAACGGATGGATAGATTATTCAGCGAAAGCGCATCACAAATTCTGTCAGTATGGAAGTGATCGTTAATATTACCCGTCACAACACTATCTCTATTTAATTTCAATCGACTTAATTGGGGGTAATTAATAAAGTAATTAATAGGGAGTTATAGGTAAACATTGAAGTCGCCATTTGGAGAACGATAGATCATTACGACTATAATTTATTACACAAGCCGCTGCTGCATATAGAGTAAATCAGTATTAGCAGCATAAATAAACTTTCCCATTCCGTGTATATGAGATTCTCTAAAAAAGTATAGAATTATAGTCTTCAATATCGAAGTAAAGCGAATAAGCTTCAATATAAAGCGAATTATTTTAACATTTTAATGTAAAACGGAACAGCAAAAATCAAAATTTGAATGAAAATATTATAATTTTATTGTATTTTACATACGTTTGGTATTTTCAACAATATAGTTATAAAATTCAATAATACCAGGCCAAGTTTCCTCGCATACTGACATAATCTTTTCCGCAGGCAAATCAAACCCGGCATTTCCTCCACCTGGTAACTCAATTGTATAACTTAATCTAGCTCCTGCAACTCCCATTGCCCAATCTTTAGTTGTTCCGGAAACGTAATAAGTTAAATTGGGAGATGTTCCAGTTACATAAACAGTTCCATTTATAGATTTTATAGCAGCAGCAACTCTTTCACCTACTTCTTGAAGTTCATCGGCGTTTTCAGGAAGATCTGTAGTGAATCCCCATGGATACAATAACCATTGACCATAACTATGAACCCCTAAATATAAGAAGATGTTATCCATGCTTTGAGCTAACTTTGCGAACGATTGTGCTTCAGGTTCCGAAAAGGCGTAAGGTCCGGCGAAGGTTTCAGAACATTCGTTAGCACTTGTACCTGGGCCCATCCAATGGAAATCAAAGTTTCTGTTCATATCAACGCCAATACATTGAACACCGGGACGTCTTGTTTTTCTCCACAATCGATTCTAAAACGTAATTAAAAATAAAATAACTTGTAATAATATTTAAGAGTAAATTTTTACAGTTGTATGAGTATATTCATAACCATCTGGATTTAAAACAACAACAATAACCCAATTAACATTAGCAATCATGTCAGCATTACTTTCATTTTCAACTAATTGTTTAATGGTGTATAAAGTAACAGCTGGGGAAATCCATTCACGAGCATGAATGCCTCCATCAATTAACACGGCGGGATTTGAAGATGGCCCACTTCCAATTTTAATAACGTACAAGGGTCTACCCTCGTAAGAGGTACCAAATTCTTCAAGCACAACCTTTTCTGGATAATCTACTGCTAATCTTTGTAAGTAGCTGACAATCTAAAACATTCGATGTTAAAAATGTTTTATAAAGCAGATAAGATCTACTTCATCATAACGATGGTATTGTGTAAAACTGATTTGACCTTCTCCAACTGGTTTGGAAGATTTTTGTCTAATTTTTTCATTATCAATGGATCTTTGTACATTATTCATTAACAGTTTGAACTTAATTCCTCTGCTAGTTAAGGCTTCCCAGAAATTTTCCAAGGCGGCACCTTTTACCATAACAACAGCAGGAATATTTAAGGAACGAGTCTCCGACCAAAAATCGTATCTTTCACTATTTTGAATAAAATCCAAAAATTCCAAATGTTCTTCATTTTCAGGAATCAGTTGATACAGCTTAGAACTAAAACCATTTAGGTTTTAAATTGAGAAAATAATTAAGTTTCTATTAGCTTACCCGTCATAATTAATAAATTGGGCAAAACAGCCACTTAAAATACATAGCAACAGCACCGTAAGACGCATTTTTAAGTACTGATTATGTTTGAGGTGCGATAACAATTTTATCGCAACCTTCAAATAATTGAAATTTAGGTGTTGATATGCAAAAATTGTTTATACAATAAAATCAATGTATATGTAGAAAAGATTCGGGAAGAATCCAGACCCTTCGAGTGGACTCGTCAAGGGTTCTAGTCGATCGATAGAAGCCGAGAAGAAAGTGAGAAGAAAATGGAGTTAAGTGGCTAGACGTAAAGATCAATGTAAACATTATGAAGCAGATGAAAATGACGAAGAAGACGATAAACCTCGAATGTTACCACAACACGAAAAATGTTAAACTCAACAAACAATGAAATTAAATATGGTTCAATCAACATTCAAAGATAAATCTAAAATTTGTATAGACCTTTAAAGACGTTGAAGATACGGTTAGTACATTTGATGGATGTGATGGAATTTGAAGATACTGCTATGTTGATGGGATGGAGTGACGTTGAGAAACTAAATATATGGAAATAGATTGTTGAAAGGAGATGCACGTTAGTTTACGAAATCAGAAAGAAAGGTTTCAACATGGAATGCGTTTAAAAACAAATTAAAGGACGAGTTTAAGCGAAATCTAAGTGGTGCTGCACTTCATAAAATGTTCACCTCAAGAAGAAAACGAAGAGACGAAACTGTTACTTAATACTTACTGAAAATGCGAGAGATCGCTGTTCAGGATACTTAGAAGAAGACGTTTTAATCGAATATGTAATAGAAGGAATAGTTGATGACGAAAAAGGCAGTAAATGCTTCAAATGTAACAAATATGTACACCTCGCTTATCAATATAATACTGAAAATAAACTAAAAGAAGATGATCAAGGACGGACGAAAAGAAGTTATATTACTATGTTAATTTAGTTACTTATATAAGCTTTGGTTACAAGAGGATGAAGAATATGAAGAGTCATTCGAGGCGAATTCGCAGCCGGATGGCCGAGATGTAGGAAAGATTCTGGAAGACTCAAGACAGTTTGGGCTCGAAGGCTCTAGTCGATCGATAGAAGCCGAGAAGAAAGTGAGAAGAAGATGGAGTTAGAAGACGACACACAAAGAAGACGACAAGCAAAGAGTGAAGACGTGTTGTGTTGAAGGTGGTGAAATTAATTAGTTGACATGAAATTGTTAATTTTAATTAGAAAATAATTAAGGACAAGTGAGGTTTTTGTAGTTTATTTAAATAAAACCCTACATATATATATAAATAAATAAAATGATTGATATGTTTTTAAATAAATATGTGAATGACTTTTATTGAAACGTTTGGAGAATGTCGATATTGTTGTTTGTAATGGCTTTCGGAGAAATATTAAAGAATAGTAGAATTGCGGTCAACTGGACGTTTGTCCAGTACAAGAGTGGTCGCTTTGCTCCCCGCCAGTCAAACCCGTAGTAAATTTACCCCCAACTGTCCGGAGGCACTTCGGAAAATAGAGCTTTGCTTTATGTTGGTTCATTACGATCCACTTCAGTTTTACCCTATGTAATCTATTATTGACGAAGTTGTTTACCAAGAAAAAAATATAATTATTATATTTGAAAAATAGAACATATAGCAAATACAGTAAAACCTCGATATAACGGATTAATACGGGGAAGGGAGTGTCCGTTATATAAAAAATTTGTTATTTTCACTTTAAACAGTTTGAATGAATAATTTTAATGCACACAAATTCAGACAGCTATCCACACAGTTGCGTTCTACATTAGTTAGTTCAATAAAAATACACAACAATCTAGCACTAAATAACAACTAAAACTAGAATTAACACTAGACCTAGAACTAAAAAGATGTGTGTTTAGCCGAGAGTCTTTAGAAAATCAAAAACTTTCTACTTCTAATGTTAGTTCAATGACAAGTATACAACAATCTAACGCTGAATAACAACTAAGACAAGAACTAAAACAAGAACTAACACTAGCATTAGAACTAACACTAGACCTAGAATTAGAAACATTCGATTAATTCCAGCTCATTGATGCACCTACAAGGATGGCGAGGAACTGCATATCATTAATAGACCTAATTATTACTTTTGACGAGTCTTTAATTCTGAGTAGTGGAGTTATTGGCTGTGATGTTTCCGATCATAACATGGTGTACTGTGTGATGAGTGTGAATGTTCTTGAAAGTGTTCCACTTTATAGAAATATGCGCTTGTTGAGTAGCATTAGTCACGAATAATTTTTGCTTGACCTGCAGTCCATACCATGCAATTTTATGTTTTATATGGATGATATTGATCGGAAACTTGAGTTTTTAAATGGTAACATAATTGCCTTGTTTGATGCTCATGCTCCACTGAGGAATTACAGATTTACTAAACCACGCAGTCCTTGGTTGACAGATAATATAAAGCTCTTGATGAATTTGAGGGATGGCGCAAAAATGAAATTCAAGAGGACTCGCAGTCGGGGTGGTTAGGATTACTACAAATCTCTTCGTAACTACACCACTGCAGCTGTGAGGAACGAAAAACGTTATTTTGCTTATTTGACAGAACAAGGAAGTTCTAAACAGATATGGAATGAAGTTAGAGGACTTAGGGTTATGACGGATGGCAGGGCGTTGTCCTTACCGTCCCATTTTCAGGACCCTGACCGTATTAACAGTTATTTTGTAGATAGTGTAAACGACCTTGTGGATAGTTTGCTGTCTGTTAATTTGATTTTTATAAGCATAATGCATGTCAATATCAATTTGTATTTAAAAATGTAAGTGAGGCAAAGGTGCGGTCTATTCTAGCTTCTATCACATCCGCTTCAATTGGGTGTGATGGTATTTCCATAGGAATGATACGTCCCTGCTGTCCGTTGATTTTGCCGTATCTGATTCATTTTCTCAATTGTTGTCTTTCGGAGAGTAAATTTCCTACGCTTTGGAAGCAAGGGATAGTTATTCCTTTGGCAAAGGTTGATGATCCCAAGCAATTGATAGATCTTAGACCAATAAGTACTTTTCCAACGTTATCTAAGGTGCTTGAAAAAATTATGAAGCAGCAGTCAGTGAGTAATAGCTTGTTGCCTCTGAAGCAGTCTGGCTTTCAAAGTGGCTATAGTTGTACAACTGCAATGTTGCGCCTAACTGATGATATTTTTACGAACACGAACACTGGATTGTACACTGCTGTGGTCTTCCTGGATTTTTCTAAAGTGTTTCTTTCTAAAAGATTCTGTATGATTTGGGGCTGAGTTCAGATGCGGTATCTTTGTTGGCTGACTACCTATGTGATAGGTCTCAAAGGGTAAGGATCGGTGATGATTTGTCTCACACAGTTAGAGTTTTGAATGGTGTACTACAGGGTTCGGTCTTGGGGCCTCTCTTGTTCTCTTTGTTCACTTCGCAGTTTAGTAGACGGGTGCAATATTGTAAAGTCAATATGTATGCTCATGATATATAGTGTTATTTGTCCATTCATGAAAATGATAAGAATCTAGTACAGATGCGTATTAATGAGGACCTGTCTATTATATTTAATATTGCAACGTTTCATAAATTAAAGATTAATCCTGATAAGTCTGCGTGCGTATGTTTCGGAAGAGGGATGGGGGTCACAGGGCTGAACTTGGATCTTGATATTAATATAAATGGTTCAAGAATCAATGTTGTTAAGGAAGCAAAATGCCTTGGTTTAACAATAGATAACACCTTCAGATTTAAAACTCAAATTAATATTTACATGAGAAGGTCGTATTCATGTTTAAGAAAAGTTTATCAACTTTATTCAACTTTATGGCACCTGTGTATCATCCAGCTATAGATGTGCTTATATCGAATCGCATACAAAAAGTTCAAAATAGTTGCCTTAGGTTTATTTTTGGAATCCGGAAGTATGACAGAATCTCACATAAACTTAAAGATGTTGGGTGGCACAGGATGGATCGTCACAACACATATACCGACATACTTGTATGAGAAAATTACTATTAAAAGCGCGAACAATGCTCTACAGACGAGATTAAAATATGGTATATATCCACCAAAATACAGAACCTCTTTGTTTCACAGATCTTTTACATATCACATACATATATAAGTCATATGGAACGTTACCGCCTATGATCAAAAAACTAAATATCAATAATTTCAAAAAACACTACATAAAGATAAATTTCTGGAGTAATGTCCAGCCTTGTCATAGTTAATCATATGAATGCATGGTTTTTTTAACGTTCAGAGCAAGAGAGTTGAACAGATTTTATCTGAAGCCCGCCTATTGCACAATGCCATTTTTTCCTTTTCGTTTTTTTTGTGTTGTAAGGTACTGATTTTTTTGATTTATTGTTGTTTAAACATTCTAGTTTAGAGTATATCTACAGTATAGATACAATTTTTGTTATTATTATTTATTTTTTTCTTTTGTTGTATTCAATGGTTTGTGCAATAAAGACATTTATTATTATTATTATTAATTAGAACTACCGTCCTTGATTTATACATTGTATAGACTATTCGGAGAATACCCCGACTTTATCTATGAACATAGAATAGAATAACTTGAAATAACTCAAATAACCCAAGTTGGATTCGATCTATGAACGCTAACATTTTTATTTAAATATACTGATGTATTAAATAGATTATATTAATAGTATGGCTTAAAAATATTTTATCCGAAATCCGCTCAAACGAGGTTTTACTGTAGTTTAATTAAGGAAAAATGTTTATCGCTGTTTAATTAATATTGCAAATCTATCTGGTTTGGGATACATTTATCACTGGGTCCCAGTGGAAGCAAAGCAAGCAGGACCTCAACCAAAGAGGACTTACTGGGGCCTGTAGGATTATAAGGAAATTTGATAGCGCAGTTTCCGGCGCCGGCAAAGGATAATCGGATGAGTATAATTCGGCCGGTTTTGTGTTGTCCACGTCATGGTGAATTGCATCTCGCTTGGCGCCGTTAAATGCGCAGTCCGCTCGAGGCTGAATTGAATGACGGATTTGGGAGTTTAGAGTTTGTCGCCGCAATTTCGCCTCTAA